TCGTGCCCCCCCCGAAGCTGCAATTGAGAGTGGTGTCCGGCCGTAGTTATCTGGTTTGTCGGGGTTGACGTCGTCCCGTCCGAGTAGTATTTTCACCATTCCCTCGTGCCCCCCCGAAGCAGCAAGCAAGAGTGGTGTCCGGCCGTAGTTATCTGGTTTGTCGGGGTCCACGTCGTCCCGTCCGAGTAGTATCTTCACCACTCCCTCATGCCCATTCAAGACAGCCCAGATGAGAGATGTATTACCCACACAGTCCCTTTGGTTGATATCACAACCCTCCACTTCTACAAAACTAGCGACAAACTCAACAATACCAAAGAGGGATGCACAATGCAAGCCGCTGAACAGGGAAAGCTCACCGAGGTTGATCGGATGCATGCTCCGGGCCTTCAAGAGAATTTTGGTGGGTACATGGTGATTGTCATCAAACAGTCTCAGCGCAAGACATTTCGCGCTATTTGAAGGGTCTCTTTTTGCATGGACTCCCCAATATAGAGAAGAATATTCGAGAAAGGGCATATATTGGAGACCGGGAGAGAGACGGGTCGAAAGAGCCTTCACCTCCTCGGAATTCAGATAACTCAGACAAGTTTCTGCCATCGTCGAGTGGGCTCCGCCAAAAAGCTCGGGATGAGCCCGGAGGTACTCTTGAAGGGTAAAGTGGATTAACCGGACGGTGGAAGCTTCCTTGTCCACGACAATAAGCCCTTGGCAGCAGGCTAGCAATGTCCCTATCGAAGGAACATTATCGGTATTGAGATTTGGTGACCCTATTTCAACTGCTAGGGCGTGGCACATTTCATCCACCTTCAAGGGCCGCTCCGAGTGAGAGACCCACATCAAAGCCGCCATGCCAAGCCTGGCTTTCTCCTCACCCTGCCCCGTTACCCGATCCAGTGTTGCGCCATAAGCATCTCCCAATCCCAAGCTATTGGTCATTGCATTAAGCTTTTGTCGTCTGCGATGGATCGTGGTTTCCTGTAGGATCGCATCAATACTCAGCGAGACCAGTAGGAATCTAGATACGCATTTGTCAGTGGGTAACTCAAGGTATTATAGCTTCTCCACCGTCGTTGCTTCTACGTACATTCCTGAAATATCTTCCGGAATTTTCTCCAGGATGTCTGCTACAAGACTGCTGTCCATCGCATCCGGGGTTGTGTCCTCGTCCAGCCTAGTGGCAAGATATCTAATAACATCATCCCTCTTGGGGCTTACTGAAACATTCCTTACTCTCCCCCCAAGACGCCTCCCAATCTCAGGTCGAATATGCGGTCTTCCAGTCACGAACATTCGAGTGTCAGGAGCCTTGTCGAGAATTTGATTCAGCGAATTGAAAAGCCTGGTTCGATCCCCTGCCGCACATTCATCGAGGGCGTCTATACATATGAATGTGCGCTTTTTGGAAGAGGCAATCTGCATCATCTCCACAATATCTGAAAGCTGCGGCCCTCGCCCACCAATGGAATTTCTTTGGGCTTGGTATGCTCGTGATATCTCCTCCGGGGTCTCCTCCAGTCCGCAAACCAGCTGCTTCAGCAGGGCGCCCAGCATGCTCGTGGGGGTCTGCTCCTTTTGGGCCGCGAAATCAAAATAAAAACATGCGACGGTAGCATTCTGTCCTTCCGCCCGATCACACAACCTGTCTATCACCAAGGAACTAAAATAGCCGCTTGTCAGCACTTGCTCACTCTCTTCCATGTTTCCGTGATAGTCCCTGCTACCTGATAAAAGTTTTGCCAACCCCTGGATCTCCATAGCAAAACATAACTGCGCTATCAGACCCACCGCCCTCACTACCCGCATACCAGCCGCGAAACTCCTCGGTTTTCAAGAGCCATTCCCCTACATTTTCCACCCGCCGACCCTGAATGTCGTGATGCCGTAACTTGGGATCTAGGGGGGATAGCCAGCATAGGATATCATGCCGGTCATCGGCAGCTCTCAAGTTATTCGTAATAGTGGTGTTCGACACATTAACAGTCGTGTTTAAAGAGTTGGTGTTATTACTATACGATTGAGACATTTCTTGCTTCTTCTTGCTCAGAATATATAGTAATGGTGGCGGACGATGGAGTTGGTCGACTATCCTCCTGGAATTCCTGGGAGCTGAAGAAAAGCGGGGTCGCTTGTGGAACCCCACAACCGTCCAATCAGTCTCCCTCAAATTTACGTAGGTCAACGACACCCTGCTCGCGCCCACCGCACTGATGACAAGATCTACTCGCAGCGCACCTCTTGAAGTGCTATGCCATGGTCCAGTACCGTGCAGCGCCAATCTTACATTGCGATAAAGCGACGCCCTTGAGGTCCTGGGCTGGAATCGACCAGCCTGAGATATCTATAAGCACAGTATAGTACAATATTCAAGCCTTATACAAATAAACCAGTCGAAATCTTACATATTATCTAACTTGAGGCGTCACAACGTAGTCCCTCATGATGCCAATACCGGCCGGGAAGCCTTTCCCGCAACCTCGTCCCAGGTTATTTGAAGATGGAACACGCCCGTTTTGATATTCATCGAGACGGTCAAGTACAGTATTGTGAGAACAGGTAGAAGTACTTGCCTTTGTTTCGGCGCACAAATACAATCTTCATGTGCCGGCATTCGTAGTCTCAGTCTTGTTTCTTGGACATTGCAATTTGCTAACACGTACTGTTTAGTATAGACTTTTTCACTGTTATATTTAAAGGGCGAAGTGACCCTCAAAGTCTGAGAACAAAAAATGCGAACAGGATGAACATGCAGAACAGAGAGCAAGACCGAACAGAGAAATATTTATCTTTCTTCACTTTGTTAGGAGCTAGGGGGGGCTCCCTCTTCTTGATCCCCATTTTCTCCTCCAGAGTTCATGAAAATTTAAAGATGAAGCCCTTTACCGAATAGCAGAACCCCCAACCAACTTATATTTTGCCCTTGACACCAGGAATTATCAGTCCGGGCCGGGTATATTATAACTCCTATACCACTGACTTATCACATTGCCCACAATCCGTACTGTATCATACAGCGCCGCGCAGTGCCATGTCAGGGCAGTTTGCCACAATTGCCACAACCTACCCCATATTTATAACAATTGAAGAGTAGGTTTCGTCAAAACCAAACGCGGTTTGTGCCGGCTGTGCAGAAGCTGTCCTATCCTGAATGAGGTAGAAATGGTCTTCAGTGATAGCCCCCGGACAACCGATCCCTCAATAGTAGGAGATTCAGAGGTAGTAAGGACCCGAAAGCTAATAGAGAGGGGGGATGACTAGCAGTACTGATCCTGTTTTACCCCCATCACGATAAGAGTGGTCCTAGAAGGAAACGATCGGCCGTGAGTGCAATGAGGAATGGAGTGCAAAGATTCAGGGGGAGGGGGGACGTATCATGTCCGCCTTGTTATTAGTCCTTCGAGCCCGATAGTAAGGTAGTAATTCCACGTCACGACGTGGTACAGCGCATCCCGACGTCCCGCACAGTACTCGTACAGTACTCAACTGCTCTACTCGTACACTCTTCACCCCATCTAAAACCAAGCTAACCCGTCCCTATCCAATAGTATCAACCCCCACTCTTCACCAGAGATCCAAGTGCAGAACACAAATGCACGGTACTGTACAGCGAATAACCAGCCCACGAACCCAGAGCTACCGTAGTAGTTCCAGGTCCACCAGTCCCAATAAAAAAAATAAAAATAAAATCCCAGCAAATTGATACAAAAAAAACAAAGATACTTTGAGAACTCTATTCATGTATGATACCGTACGTTCTCATAGAAAGATATCATAGCCATATCATAGGCTCGCAGCAAGGAAGCACCACCCCAGAACACAAACTTGCATCACATTACATCACTCAAAAGCTTAAGGTCCCCTAGACACACACCCACACCGACCCGAGCGCAAGTCCTCAACTACCGTATCATCCCCTTAAACGTCACCAGAAATAAAGAAGAAGAAAAAAAATACCATAAAATATTGGGTTCATTCCCTTACGACATCATACCAGGCGCAGGTATGATATGATATGATATGATACATCCCAAATCCCGAATCCTAAACTCTCTACGTAACAACAGCAACACCCCGTGACGATACTCCCAGAGCAGACGATAAAGTTAACCCGGGAGCGAACACGTATCATTAATTACCCGCAGAGCGCGAAATAGTATCACATCTGATACTCCAAGTTTCGGAAGCGACCTAAGTATCGTACACACTACGTAAAACCTTGACAAACAGACAGACACACACAAACAAACCCCCTCTAAAAAAAACCCCCCGAAACGAAACAAAACGAAACGAGACATACCGCATGATACAAAATCCATGGCCTATTTAGCAGGGTACAATATACTACTACTACTGCTACTACTCAAATACCATCATGCGATATCTCGAGTTTCATAGCCCGGCCCCGCCGGGAGTGGTGCTGATGTCAATGCCGGCATAATATTTCACGATCCGAAATAAAATTAATTCAAAAAAATAAATAAAAATTAGTGCATCAGGCTTTCCAGAAACAAATTCGTTGGGGGGAGCTGGGACTTCCATCGCTCGCGGTTATTGGACCTTCGGGGAGGGATCAATTGCATGTTAAAAGGGATTCAGAAACCTCGAGCGTACAACAGGTACACACATACATATATATATACGGTATATATAAGTGAATAGTACAGTACAAGCTCAGTCATAAACCACATGCGCTTATAGCCACGTGTGGCTCGTACATAGATAGTCAACCTGTTAAGATGAGGCGATCTCAACAACTCTAGTTTCGTCTGGGGTAAGGTAACCTTATCACAGGTACCGTACCATACGTCTTTATCCTTCACTAGCGCCCAGGGCAGTCATGCAATCACAAACCTACATACAACTTCTCCCCCCCCCTACACACTCTTCAGAGGATAAAGGTTCATTCCACCATCATGATTGGTATCACTATCATAAAAAAACCCGAAACAACTCAGCATTCGTGAAAAATCAAAGTCGAAAGAAGAGATCATGTGTGAAATTGAAATAAATCGACTTTTTCTCAAGCCGAACCATTCACCGTCCAGACAAAGAAACAAACGAACAAGCAAACAGAATAGCCAGGGCACTCAAGAAAATGAACGGAGGAAGAAACAAAAATTAAAGAAAAACAAATCCCATCTCTATTCGCCCACGGTATGCCATCCCATCAATCCGTCCAAATCCAAATCCCCGCAGCCGCTACAAAGCAGTCCCTCCCAATCCCAGTGCTTCTCTTTCCTCAAACCGGAGACAGGAAAAACAGACAGACAAACAGACAGCACACGCACACCAATATTACAGACTAATTGGGACATGGCAAAACTAGATGACTAACAAACCGACCCAGACAATTGCTAAACCAACCAGCTAACTCTGAGCCCTGCTTCCCGGCGGCAAGAATAGCTCATTACTGTTCTTGTAGTAATCGTGAGTTCCTGTCTGTGGGTCTGAGGAGCCATGAGTTTGGGGTGGGGCTTCCTGGGAGTAATACGATTGGGGCGAGGCACCGCCTGCAGGGGAGATGTAGGCATTGTACGGCGCCGAAGGGTTGCTAGCCCCTCCTGAAGTGGTGGGCTGAGGTGTGAGAGATGGGTATGGTTGGCCAGGATTCGGACCGGCGGATAGAGGCCTTGACTGGGGCTGGTAGTGATAACCGGTGTATGAGGGCTGGCCAGGGACCTTTGGAGAGTGCGGTCTATCCGCAGTCTGTAACTTGGATGGCTGCGGGTTGAAACCTCCACCGGGTGGCCGACTCTCCATGGGTGAATCGTACACCGAAGTCGCCAATTCCTGAGGCTGAGACGTGCCATCTGCAGGAGTCGCACCAGATGCCGAAGCCGCATGACCAGGATGGGGCCTCTGAGAATGGAGGTCCGCAGCGGGCACGGATGGGCTAGAAGGGCCCTGACGGCCGGGCAATTGCGCACCAGGTGGGGCCTGTCCAACCACATAAAAGGGAGCAGCTCCTACGTGGGATGAATTATCACGGCCATCACCTTGCGGGGGGTAAAAGCTATTACTTGCACGACGTCCTCCAGGATATGGAGCCCCTGCAGGCTTCTGTTGGGGTGGTGCGAAAGCGGTATGGGCATTGGATGGAGATGTGGTATTATGTTGTGGGGTATTTTGTTGGGGAGCAGGCGGGTAATACCTGCCAGGCTCTCCACTACCGGCCGGATAGGCATCACCCCCATAGTTATATGCAGTTTGATTTGGTCGGCCATAATGAGAAGCTGGTTGGGCCATAGATGTCTCCAGCAGAGATTCGTAATCCTTCCTAGCCTTGATAAACTTCTCGTTCAAGGACATAAAGTCATCTAAAAAAAACATAGTTAGTAAACCTGACAAATCAGGAAAAAGCAAACACTGCACAATACCTTTCTTTTGGGAGTACTTTCCGATAAGCTCGATAAGCTTTGGGCGGATAGCAAGCGTCTGGTGATACAAGGTCTAATCCAATTAGCGTGTCCATAGCCCGATGATTCGGCAAAAGTGTATACCGTAATCTCCTCATTATCCTGAACATTGGTATCCACACTGGTAGTACTCAATAGAGACAACAGCTTCTCCACATTCTTAACCTCGGCGAAAACCTGTGCCTCCATCTGCGCCTCCCTTTGGACTTCCTCAGGAGTAGGATCCGATAACTTCTCAACATAGTTTAGCGGAAAAATTCCCGTCTGGCCTCTCAAGGAACCCTTCCACCAATCCTTGTAGACAGACTCGAGCACAGCAATGATATCACCTTTCCTGAAAGCCAGCTCACCAGCTTCAGAAGGGACGAAATCGAATAGAGCACGGACCCGCGAGACGGTAGCAGCCGTAGTATGTGGTGCCACCTGAGAAGCCTCAGCTTGGCCCTGAGTTTGAGACGGCTGGCCAGAGCCAGCGGGCTGCTGAGCCGACTTCCCAGCAGCTGCTCCTTGCGCGGTTCGATCCTTTAACGATATAGCTAGAGCCATTTGAAGCTCTTCCTCCTCTTTTTGTCTGTCAACATCGGTAATCTCTCTCTTGTGCGGCTTGGACGGTGCCTGGATAGTAGGGTCTATCGATCATTAGCCCCAATTCACCCAAATAAAACCCCATCCAGTTCTCCTACTCTGAGATTTAAGTTTGTTGTAAGCCTGATCCATGATGCCAAGATCTGGCTCCTTCGAAAACATCTCGGACCACTCCGCCATTCGCTCCAGAATCTTCGTCTTGACCTTTTGGTGAGTATTCTAGCAGAGCAAAGAGAGAAATATCAGCAAACCGTTCCCCCAGCCGATATCAGAACAGGAGAAAACGCACCCGATCACCAGCTAGCCGTAACAATGACTCCGTGAATGACCTGGATGCAAGCTCCCGGTGCATCTTGGGGCCACAATTTTGCGAAAAGGCATTCGCGAGCTAAAAACGGCCCCCCATGGATAATAATCAGCCCACACATTCTCACAAACACCAGCTTTAAGCCGTAGAGATGAACGGCCCCACCTCGAGTGTATAAATTTGAACATCGGCATTTCGGTGAGCGAGCCTCTTTATTAACGCTGCGACAGCATTCTTCGGCCTGCCAACAAAGGTCGTCGTTATCAATCAGCGGGCGGGATGCTTTTAAAAAATAATAATAATAATAATACGGATGAACGACAAAGAAGCTTACCCATTCTCCCCGGACTCATTAATCTTTTCCCAAGCATCCATCATATACTCCCAGTTCTCCGAGGTCAACGTCTCGTCCGTCGCCTTGGCTATATTGCCGTAAAAGAAGCGGAAATAAAGTTTCGTGAGCACACGTATTCACAGGCTACAGCATCGTATCGCACAATCAAAGCATGAAGGAACCCTTACTTACCGATGACATCGTCAAACTCATTCTGCTGCGCTCGAAACATGCTTTTCCCTTTGCGCAAACCAGCAGTTGGATCAGCGGTAGGAATCAAAGTTCCGAATAATCGACCCAGCTTGGCTCGTTATGATTTTCTTCTCCTCTCTGATTCTCTTTCCTTGCAAGAACTCCTCCTTCACCGTATGCTGGAGGGAGAGTAGTGGTGGTGGTGGTGTACGGTTGATGGTGGTGGTGGTGGTGGGCAAGTGGAATGGGTGGAAGTTAGCACGCAGCAGCAGCAGTAGCAGGGGGACCGACGGGGAGATTGCTTGTCTGCGTAATGCCCCAGCGTCAGTGGGTGGCTGTGGAGGCAAAACGCCGCGCGGGGCCTGCGGGGAGGGGAGATGAGTCAGCAGTCAGAATCATCCGCTATCGTACGGTAGTCTACCGGTACCGGTATTCACTTTCTCGGAAGAAACGTCTCGTCCGGGTATGACACCATACGCGAGCAAAGGGATGTACGCCCTTTTCCCTCCTTCCAGCAGTGGCCTACTAGTTAGTAGCGATAACGCAGAATTAAACGTTAGACCCGAGAGAGACCATCCGAAAGCGTCCACAAAGGATCCTGATCCGTCCCGTTGTTCACCAGATAATTTACCGTGCTGTCCTGTGCCGCACTGTACTGTACGGTACGCACGCCGGGATGCCCAGACCACACAATCTGGAAGTGCCAACCCACAATCAACACCACCACCACCACCACAGCTCTCCCTCACATACAGACTACTCGAGCACACGAGAGCCCAGGGCTCCAGAAGTGCGATATTTCGAATAAAACCATCAGCCCTACGGAAATAAGCTCATCCCCTACCTGGATCGAGTGACATATTATGACTATCAGATAAGATACCGTGTATCACTCCCCCCCAATATCAAGGAAATTACACCTTGGCGCCATTCATCACAACAATCGATCCAGGCTGACGTGGCCCCGAATGCCGTCCGAGACCGGTAGATGGGTGTGGCGGTCAAGGTGTTCATTAGAGGAATCACGCATTACCCGTGCTCTCATAACAATATCCTTCGTTCGGTCTAGATGCCGGCACGCGACGTGGAGGTAGCCATCCCATTTTACGAAATTTCTCGTAATCAACGCCTATGGTATCCACAACGTTACCCGTTGCCGCAAAGGCTGAAAAGGCGGAGGGTGAAAATCACCAACAAACACGCACAATGAGAGTGTCAAGGGGCACCAGTATCGCTCAAGAGGGAGGAAGCAAGAAGGGTGAAAGGAGAAAAAAATTGAAGAGTAGAGTGTCCTCGAAATAATCTCCCCCAAAAGAGCTAGACGAGAGAGAAAGGAAACAGAATGGTGGACAAAAGTGAAAAAGAAAAGCCTCCGAGTACAAATACCATAAGAGATGAAAACGAATTACCGTACCCACCGCCCACATCGAATAATTCCACCCGTCTTCTATGTAAAAGAAATACCCAAAGATCCAACCATAACAAGCCAGCCAACCAGCTAGACAGTTCCCTTCGCTAAGAACACTTTTTTCAATTAATTTTTTTTTTTCCGATTACAATCCGCCTGACGCCGTCAAACATGAGCTCGTAGGATAAATCGCTGTGCACCACTCAGCCCCTCTGTCGTTCCTGCGCTCTAGCCTGACGCGCAGCTCTAACGAGAGGTGCCAAACTGGCCAACGGATCCGCGGTTTGAAGGAACATATGCTACATGCATTCGTCAGCTACAATGAAACAAGAAGCAATGCTAGAGTCATTATAACATGCCTGAAGGAGTTCACCAGCGGAAGCCCTACGATCCGGGCTGACTTCCAACGCGGAGTGTAAAAAGTCCTTGAGTTCGCCCGACAATTGATCCGGTTCCTTGAGTCTAGGAGTACCGTTTGTCGCGATCAAGTACAATGCACGCAAAGGCGATTCCGTCAAGTAAGGCGGTTCACCCTCGATCATCTCGATCGCCATAATTCCCAAGCTCCAGATATCGACTTTGCGCCCATACTCCTTCCTAGTGACGACCTCGGGTGCCATCCAGTACGGAGTACCAACCATTGTAGTACGTTTCATCATGGCCTCATTTATCTGAGCGCAAAAACCGAAGTCGGCTGTTATACCGAGTTAGGTTAGCCACTAGAAGTCCCACCCGAACAACCAACGATATCCACTCACTCAATTTGATATGGCCCTCCAGCGACAAGAGGATGTTGTCAGACTTAATATCCCTATGGATTACGCCTTTCGAGTGAAGATGCTGCAACCCTTGCAAGGTCTACGAACAATTAGCATTAGAAGTTTCAATGGATTCACATACGAGTCACCAACCTCACGACAAACTGCAGCGATCTGGCCTTCCGTCATGATATTGAAGGTAACCACATCGGTCAAACTTCCACCCTCCATGTACTCCATTACAACCCAAAGATCGCCCCTGTGCAAGAAACTGTCCATAAAATTGACAATATTCTTGTGCTTGCTATCCTTCATGACCAGAATTTCGTTGATAATAAGATCCTTCTTGGGCTGTTGCTCAAGATTCATCTGCTTGATGGCAACGGACCGGTTTGAGCCAACCTGATAAGCCGTGTATACACCGCCGGATGCCCCCTGACCGATCTTGTTCAGGCTGCGATAGAGTTTGGTAGGGTCAGCATTGGTACAGATAGCATTCAAACGAGACACAATATCGATATCCTTGCTCGGCTGCTTCCTGTGTTGACGTCTCTGTACAGGGACAGGTCCAACATTTCCACCAGAGGCTGCCTGGGCTTGAACAACCTGCCCAGAGGCAGCTGTGGGAGCACGAGTAGGACCCTGCTGAATAGTTGGGGAAGCATTCTGGTGCTGGATCATGGGTTGCTGGAAATGAGTTTGTTGTGGCGCGGGTGACTGCTTCACCTTAGAACCGTTGGATTCGAAGGGCCCGTTTCTGAAGGGATCATTTGACCTCGGAGGCGATGGCTCCCTAGGTATCCTTGGGCTCTGGTGAACGGTGACAGGGGTAGGCACGGGTGCCGCTCGAGTCTCCTCGTGCGGCTGGTAGGTATCCTGCTGTAATTTTTCGATGGGAGACACTTGATACGAAGGTTGGGGAAGCGGGGGGGCAGGTTGGGCTGCCCTTGACAAGTAGGGACTGATGTGCCCCGGCTCCCTGGGTGGAGAAGCCGGCGGGCGCGGCGCCGGACGTGTGGGGATAAGTATATCGCTGGGTCCGCCCCGGGGAAGTCCTGGGGAAAGCTGACCACCGCGTGACTTTTGACCTGCCGGAATCGGTGGAGGAGCACGGGGATTCTCAAAGCTGTGCTCATGGTTTGGCGGGAATCGGGGGCTAATAGGAGGACTCATTAACGGAGTGCCGAGTAGGGGAGACGGCCCGGGTGTCATCTGCCCAGGCAGGCCAAGTCCATGCGAATCCTGCTGGGGGATCTTCTTCCAAACACCCTCGTCCCCCTTCCCACCGCTAACGTCACTATAAAAAGCTACAATGTCCATAACAGCCTGAGGATTTTGCTCCTGCTCCTTCTTTGTTATGCCGCTCTCCTGTAACATCCGTTGCCATTCCTTCGGCAGTCCCTATACGCAAGAGAAAATGTGAGAAAACACTAGGAGGTGCAGATGGAAGGGAAGAATCCAAGCTCTGGAGGGTTTGCATACTGTAAACTCCCCAGTGATAAAGTTAAAGCCGACATGGGTCACATGGACCGGATTGGAGGGATTCGAGATCTCGATCCTCTTTGGCGAGCCCAACATACTGTTCATAAATTTAGAGAAACCAGTCTTCGTCTTAGCACTTGGCGGAGCCTGTGTTCTGACTTCGTCCGAATTGCGCTTGGGGCTCAAAGTGCCTGCGGAGCCCGTAGCATAAGACTTTGGCGGGCCGGGTGGGGAAGTAGCACGTTCGCCCATCGTGAAACTGTTTGACTGTCGTAATTGTGGTCTGGAGGATGCGGTGGTCATCGCGCTGGTATTGGGGTGGGCGAGTGGAGGCGGAGGTGGTCGTCGTAGTGTGTTCCTTCTGGATGAGGTCTCAACCCCGGAGCCCCCAGATGTCGATTCCTCAGAGAGCCTCCCGGAAACGGGTCGCGAGCTTACCCCAAGTTGATTGAAGTGCTGTATTGATAGGTTAGATTGCCCCTGCTGTCGGAACCCGTCTTGTTTGAGCTGCGGTGAGGGGTTTGTTTGCTCCAACGAGGAGGAAGAGGATGAAAAGGCCTGCGGATTGGGAGATGTGGGAGTTCGCTGGTGTCCGCCAGTCGACTTCCCATGCGTTGACCTAGGAAGCACAGGAGCCGACGGAGCCCTCTGGATCGATCCGGAAGACCACGATTTGGCGGAGGGAAGGCCTGGTGATACAAAATGCGGCGCCCTGGTTGATGGGGGATTCTTGGTGAGACGTCGACCGTGAGGTTTGTTTTCTGAACGGTTCCAAGCGCTTGCCGAGTCCATCGTTAGTCAACGGAGCCAAAGAGAGCCCAATACCGTATCCCGGCAAAAGGTGTGTTTACTACGGGATGGACTACTGATTTCCCTCACTGAATATTGATCCTTGCGCTGGGTATTGGGCGACGGTGAGGACAAGCAGATTGCAGAATGAATTGCAGGCGGGCCTCTGACTGGCGAAGGATTGGAAAAGGCAGGAGGGAGGCGGTCGAGATTAGTGGCGGGGTGCAGAGAAGGGGGGTTAGTTGGTAGCGGTTGTGGAAGCAAGCAAGTTCGAAGTCGTGAGATGATGGAATGGGGGGGGATAGGCTTGATCGAGGGTGATTGCGGATTGATTGTTTTGTATTTTGGGCGAGAGCTAGCAGATTTCGGCCCAACCGGGATTATGTGATGGAGAAATTAGAGGATCACAGCGGTTTTCTGTACTTCTCGCGGAGCTGCAGTTGGACGGTCTGAGATTGCTGTAGACCTATTGTGCACAGTACAGTTTTCTGTCACTTTCCCTGGTGTTTCCCCTTCTACGATGTTTCCAGACTCTAGAATTTACGGTACCGACGATCACCAGAGTAGTATTATAGCGAGAAGATAAGATGGAGGGGAATGGGCTCCAAAGGTCGCGAAACCGGTAGTGAAATTGTGGCTTGCTTTTCTGTCTTTCTCTTCTATCTTCTCTCTCCATTCCTCCGCCTCTCGTTACCGCCCTTCTACTTGACCTTTTACAGACCATTTGCCAGTATATGTGAGTATATGTAGGTGGAATCGGGCGTCTCTTTAGCATCACTAGGATTCGGGGGGGACTCCCCCCCAGCTTTCTCCAAGAATGACATGGGGGGCGAAGCAAGATTGTCGACTCGGAGCACAAAGTTCCAAGCTCTAGTGAAGATCATGTGAAAACATGCAATTCCAGAAAGATTCAATGGAAACAGGAAATAGAAGAGAAATATTAGCAGAAAAAGTTATCAGCCTCTGCCAGCGAAACACATGGGTTCACACTGTAGTTAATGAAGGAATCCGATGGCCCACCCCAACTCTGCAGGAAAGCCACAGGAAAATTGTATGAATGGTCGCCCTTCAGCCAACAGCAGCAATCACCCCCCAACCCCGGTCCACTAGAACAGCTAGTCTGGTCCATTTATCGAACCTCCCCGCCTGCCTTTCGCTGCGCTGTTCAGACGCCAGACAGAAGGGACATTGAAGGGACGATGAAGGGACAAGGGGACGACAACAGCTAACTAAACACGAAACAGATCACAACCACGGCATGTGGGAGGAATGGCCAAAAGAAATAAATTAAATTAAAATAAAGGGGACACAGACTTCTAGAAGCCGAAAAATCGCCCACCCGTGGATGAACAAAACAAACAGATAAACTGTCATGTTCCCTATCCCTCCATCCTGTGTGGTACATGTCATGACATTATGGTATGAAATTCCTCTTCTTTGTGGCCTTTTCCTTGGTACTACCGGTACATCACTCGCACAGTACATGTACCAGTACGGTACAGTACTGCTCCCGCCAAGACGCCCTCCGCCATGAGTAGCGAAAGGGAAATGAAAAGGAAAAAAGAAAAAAAAATAAGGCATTGAAATTCCTCTCACCAGCCCTGTCACAGTGCGGCTCGCAGATAAATGTGCCGTACTTGCAACTGTGTGTGGTGGAGAGAAGGAAGAAAGGAATCAAGGGAAGAACTCACTGACGAAATTTACTTGGAGCACCAATAAAGTACTTCCGACAAAAGTTTAGGTTGCAGCCGGGGGAGGGGCCTTGGAAATTAGGGTGAGATTTCCGTACCGATGTGTAAGATCCCGTGGCCTGGGATATCACACAAATGCCGGTAAAAGGCTCGATCATGATACTACCGGTAGTACGAGTACTGTACGGTACTCGAGTACCGGTATCGTATCTCGGCTTGAGCTAGAAGTTGCCGCTACCACTTTGACGGAATTGGCTCGGGTCGACACAATTTTTGGACGTCGTGAATTTCCCGGTGGGCACGACTGTTGGCCGAGCCGGTTCTAAGGTGGGGCTTTGTGCGCGAGCCCAGCTACATGGGCAACACCCATCCAATTCTTGTAGCTTGAGATGCTTGGCCCCAGCATGCCGAGTCTCGGTATCATACAAGCACGAACGGAGAGAGATGCGGTATGTTTGAGCGGCACCTGTTGACGATATCCACCAAGCGGAAGAAAAACAGGGCGGTGGCGGTAGCGGCACTGTACCTGTACCGTATCGTGCTGCACAGTGCGGTGCGTGAAGAGCGGTAAGTCAAACACAGCCCGCCCACCCCGTTACTCGCCAAACAAAGGCAGTTGCCGTGGGCCCCGATGCCAGTGACCCGAACACACATCTTTCAGAATCGACACAGTACAGCACCGCACAGTAATGTAGCCGCCACGCATAATGAAACAACAGAAAACAAGCTTAGAAAGTTGAGGCTTTTCAAGGTTCATGGTGCCGGTAGAGTCTTCGACGAGGAGGTGGAGGGGGGGAACAACGAAAAACAGACGGACGACGAGCAAGGATCAGCAACAGGCATTTTTTTGTTACCCTACAGTACGGTACAGTACTGTATGATACTCGTACAAGTACGCACTCTGACGATTTTCACTTTTACCGGCAGTCCACCAAACCACTCCATCCCTGTTTGTCACCCGCTGAGTTTCGTCGTGCCCCCCGTTGAGGGAGAGCGCGACAGCCAATTGGAGCAGTTGTCATTTCCAGCCTCGTGTGGCGCTGAGAGCCACTTGTATTGTACTAGTACGAGTACAGTACCATACTCGAGTATACTCGAAACCTAACCTAGGGAAGGAGGAACAAGTGGATGGAGGTTTCAGCGCAGGGCTCACCCGATTTTGGTGTCGCGCACTGCTTAAGCTATCATGCATTAATTTATGGGACTGGGAACATAATACATTAAGGTCGAGTTCCCCACCCTCTTTGTCCAAAGGTATGGCGATGAGCTGGTCCAAAAATATCTATTCACTCTTCTACCGGTACCGTACTGTACTTGTGCTTCGGTGTAGCCTATTATAGAAGGTCATCAGTTATCACAGCGATGCAGGCTATTAATATTCCTTTGGTCCATTTTTTTTTAACATGCTGAAGAGGGATAATTTTACTCTGCAGCTGTAATCTAATTTTCCTCCCCTCCTTACTAATCCCCTCCCAGCGCTCACGGCATACGAGCACTGCACTGTTCCGGTACAGTGCGAGTACTGTCAGACAGGAGCTCAACTACCGATGCACCGAGACTTCTCACGTATCCGCAGCGCGAAATGAAATAACCCACAACCGCACCCCAAAACCGTTGCCAATGCGTATAGAGGTTACCATACCCTATCACCGCATCCCCCCAATGCAAAACCATGTTATCGTCATATGCACCACGATATCTCACCCTCCCCCGCCCCCCAAGTGCCGGGCGAGAAGTCAAGGGAGAAGGGAGTAATGCAGGTACGAGTGCCGTCGGGACTACCGTGGACCAGCAATGGGTATCCTACTTGCCATCCTGTTCGCCATGACGTGGAATGCTTTTATTTTCTCCCTCTTGTCGCGTTGCGTTGAACTCACAGCACCGGTACTCTACCGTTCCCTACCGGTGTCGTGTCGTGTACGGTGCGATAAACCACGGCAAGTGTGTAAACCGGGATATGCCAGTATCGGAATCCATTCTTTCCTTTCCTTTCTCTTCATCCCTCCATTTGTTGATCTTTCGGGTGGGATACTGTGCTGTGCTGTAGGACAGCCACGTCCCATCACTCGCGATGGCCGTCATCATCGTCGTCGTCGGGCTTCATCGGGGTTTTCTCCGGTCGAGGTGCATTGCAGCGATGATTCCGATGTGGTACAGTCTGTCCGATGGGAGCCTAAATCCGGAATGGGAATGGGAATTAATGCGAGTGAGGATTTATTGATGGCTAGGAAGGGTGTGTGGCGTAGCGTTTGGGGTGTTTGAGTGGGCGTGTGGTGGCGGACGTACCGGTATGGACGAGATTTGGGTGGCGATGGTTGGTTATGATACGTTCGGATTCTTCACGGGATGCTGGTGTGGTTTGTATACTGGTACGCGTGTACCATACTGTGCGCGGTCGGTGCCATGGACCGGTTTGCTGTGCTGGCCGGTGATGGCGTGGCTGGACGGCCTGGATTACTGTAGCCGTCGGATCCCGGTTCCAGATGAAACCTATGGTAAATAAGCATTTAGCGCTGTCGTTAAGCGTCATAGGGAGTCACTCGAGCCTGGTTTCAGGTGGTGCTCGAATGCTAAGAAATTTCGGGGGTGGTGTGGTAAGTCTGAAAGGGAGTATCGCCGTGATTGGTTGATGGGGTCGTTCGCATTGTTCCTTGTGGAACTGGACTGGTATGAGATGCTTGTGATCGTTCTCAGGCTGGATTGTGTATTTGTGGAGAGCGAATCAGAGCTTCCCGAGAATTCTTTTCTTTTTCTTTTTTCAGTCCCGTGGGGGGTTCTGGGGAAGAGGTTTGTTGCAACGGTCCAAAGCACCGGAAGGCCTTCTCCATCTGTGTTATTTTCTAGAGGAGTTTCCCCCTCTCTTGGAGATAGTGTTCCGCGGGATCCGGCCGATCTTGTTCTTGTTGAAAACGATACCCGAGCAACGATCTCTACGACGGGGTGGGGGGTGTTTAACCTTACTTTACAAGGCTGTAGTGTTTGCAAACTCCTGCGATGAGCTACCTGTCGGCGCTCTCCATATGTTTTGCTGTCAGAGTTGGAACAAGTCGACGTGGTGACTGAATGCCGGGGGTATTCACGGAACCACGGATGAAATAACAATTTACCGGTGCGACCTTGGACTGATTTGGTTTGTGGTCCTGGCCTTACCAGCCTGTTCTGTTCCTCGTAGTGGAGCCATGGAATACCTCTTCTCTAGCATCCCTATATACCTAGTTCCCTTGTGAGGGACTTCTCCCATGTCCTTCGCATAATGACCCTTTGAACGCTGTCGGACCGTATTGCTTTGCTCTGCCTTGATAGGCGGGCGTGCATAGCTACCTCTCAAATTCCTTGAAATTGTTGCAAAGGGGACGACACTCTTGCAGAGGTATGACCTCCTAAACGGCTGAGAGTTTTTGTCATGAGAGACTGTGCAAACTTCATACTCAACGGGGATCGGGGAAGCGTAGGCGCCTTCTGGGCCTTATGTCCTCCATCCCGAATTCACTTGCCTACTCATCAAAGGCATATCCCTAAGACTACGTGCTCATCTTCAGCGAAGGCTGCAGAGCCCGGTGCCAGAAATCTGTAGAACCCTACCTCCACCCACGTTCTTAAACATCGCGGTCCCTTAGTGTTTGTTGTCTAGTCTAGTCAAGCCACTGGTTGAGCGACTTCGGCTCTCTAATTGTTTGCCATACTTGCAACTTGGGCCGACACAAATCCACCTCGAGTGTTTTGAAAGTCGGGATTAGGTTCTGGGAGTGGCATTTGGTGGGCCCATAGGGGGCGGCCGTTCCACGAGCGCCTTGAGCAGGCTCCCTCTTGCACTAGAAGCTATGAGATACTGGGGTTCCGAGGGTTCCGAGGGTTCCCCTGATGACCCGGTGCCCGAGGTTCTCTTGGATCCCGCTAATTTTTTGTATTTTTCTTTGACCCTTTCCGTCACGGGTGAGGCATTGAGTTAGATGGTAGCTAGGTAAAGTTTGTCGAGGATTGTGGGCGATGCGCAGAGTGTATCATTGATGGAACATAGACCCTCGTTTTGTCGGCAGAACACGATATAACGTGGCGGTTCATGGGATAATGTGAAATATCTCGACGGTCTTTGCTCCGGTTCGATTGACCAAATGCTTGTTATCCAATCGATACTGAAACCTCCTAGGCCACCAAGTATCAGAATACAGGGCTACACTCCAGTGTTTTCTAAGAATGGCAGAGTCCATGAGCAAGATACAGTTTGTTCTCCGTGGAGGACATGAGCGAGGATTCACTGACCTTGGTCTAATGTCACGAGGATTGAAAATTCCGCGCAAGCGATCACACATATCGTAGGGATGGGCCTTTTATTTCAGTTATCGTAAGCGTGGGGCAACAATCCTCAGCCCTCATCCCATGAAACCCACCACGCCGATCATTTCCTCCCTGAACGCCAGTCCTGAGCTGAAAGAAGTGACATCCCGAATACCTGGCCCTCAAAGAAAGGAGAGGAGAGAGTCCGGAAACTTATTCACCCCCTTCACCACTGTGCTTTCGGGGGCGCCCATGGCGATGAGTTCCCGTATCCCAAGTCAGTATTTAACCTGAGGAGCCGGCAACCACCAACACGACCTATGATACCGCACCAACAAACGGGAATTCAGCACCTTTCCACCAGGAGGCGCTCCTAACCCTTCCAAGAAATCTGTTTCCACACGGTAAAGATCCCTTCCAACGAAACTTTCCTGTTAGCCCATCACTGAGGGTGAGCACGGGTCAGGCATCATACCGGATATTTGGTAAAGTACGGCACTGTAACACGGGAGTCTAGCTTCTTTCCTGGAAATAAAATATAATAGAATAAAATAAAATAAAAATCCACTATGTTGCATGATTTATTTGATAAGGGGGATGGAATTTCAACACGGTAATAATGTTGGGACATTTTGCAACCCCGTCTTCTTGGAGATATGGGTGTCCCCCGATCGCGCTCTTTGCCCGGAGAGCTCTGAAAAATAGTGTCCTAGCGGTACAAAAGTCGATAGTCGGTGAAGCACCAGCACCTTGTCCGTGAGGTCTCCCTCGAACTGGGACGTGGGTTGGAATACCGCCTTTGTCATCGGGAGAGCTGGGATGTTCCACCACCCACCCTAGCGGGAGAATTTCTCTTGCATTTCCCCCTTGTAGATTTGGACGGTATCTTGATCAAGCAGTGCTCACTGTTCCCTTTTCCTTCTTACTGTCCGAGGGGTCACTGACTGACCGTGATGCTGCGAGCCGGCTCTTCATGTGAAGCTTGTTACACGACATTCCCAAATTGAAATGTGGGATATCGTCTCTATTTGCCTACTCGTAGCTTGAGAATCGCTACTGCTCGGCCCGCATTTGTTCAGCACTTGCTCTTGTATTCAAGCATGCTCTGTCTCGTATTCCGCTGGTGGCGGATTTCCTGAGGGGATGGGTTTCAGATAACATTTGGTATAGTATTACAAGTGGTGTACTGCCCGACCCATTTCTGGCCTGGCGTTCTTTTATGGAATTTTTCTGAAGGAGTTTCCTCATGTTATCTGGAATACCTCTAAGATTTGAATCAAGTCCAAAGATAGAGCATGGAAGTACTTCAGCGGTAGGTTTTATTTGGGTAGAGCAAAAGTTGAGATTGGTATTGATTGTACCAGTGGCTATAAGGGAGTTTAGAAGAAGTCAGGAATAGAGCTCCAATATTGCTATATTCAGACAACTTTCAAAGGAGAATGGGTATCAACTATATTCTGAGCTGCTGTAGGACATGGTCAGCAGAGCCCTCTTCGAGTTATCCATATTCAACAAAGACCCTCTTCCTAGTATTTATAGAAGAATAACTGTAGAGGTATAGATTCGTTGTAATACTACAAGAAGGTATCGTTTGGCTTTCTTCTATACTAGGAAGAGGTTGAAGCATTTACAGATGAAATTTTTGCTTATTGAGGATGATTCTAAGATCTATAGCTTTGTGTATAGTAGTAAGTTTAAGTCAAGTAATACTATTGTTTATACAGACTAGACAGGATATAGCTCAGATCTTAAACCCTATTAAGAATATGTGATAAGCACTTAAATGACAACTTAAGATCTGATTTCAAGGTTTGGACTCCTTAGTTATGATCTAAAGGACTTATGGAGCTGGTTGGAACAGCACAGGAAGAACAGAATATAATTGAGCAGCGCAGGTTAGATAGTTTTACAGATTCCATGGCAATTTGTGCATTTCAAACTATTTGTCATCACGGGAACTACTCTCGATGGTAATATGTACATTTGTTACTGTTATTCCAACTCTCTCGGGTTTAGCTTATGCGGTCAGCAGGTTTTTGTGGAGGAATCTGTTTTCATGATACTGATGATGTATTTCGGGGAGCGCAAAGGTTCGTACCCGCTCACTTTCTGGCCCCCCCCCGCGTCTAGTGTGGGGGGCATGATACTGTGTGCGATACCTATGTGGGGGTATGCTTGATGCGCAAGGGCTTCCGGAATCGCAGCAGGGGTGAGATGGATTGTGTGTTATGGGTAGATTACCGGTAAAGTATAGTAAATCCCGGGGTATCATAGTTCTTTGGCGGTGAATACTTCGAAGAGAGCAGACCCCAACAGACGGCTACCTACGATACTTGTAGATATTACGCGGATACGAGTAGTTGCATTTCACGAGATGTGTATTCAGCACATGTTTATTCTAGAGATCCAACAACCAGGAACCAGAACACACCCTTCTACAGCAACCCCCCCCCAGACAAAATCCCCATCCCGGGTTATTCCTATGGATTAATAGGCAAGCGCCCGTCAACTTCCGTGACCTCACCAGAACGGGAGCCTCGGCAGTGAAGTCTATGAACCGTTGGCTCGGCAGTAGGCCCGGACAGCAGAAGTATTCCGTTTGGCCGTTGAAGATCGAGGAGGCGATGCCGGTAAAGTTAGTACTCACTCTACGGGAGAATCAGCTAGAAACTTAGCTCCCTTTCCGGAGGGTGTATTTCCCCACACAAACTAGGATTAGAATCAATCGATCAGTATCCTCGTAGGATATGGGGAGTGCCGTAGCGCTATTGTAATGCACCCCTATCAGCTCCTGGATCCGGTCAACCACGTTTCGTCTTTGTATGCCATGCTCCATCACTTGTATGCCTCCCAGCGATCTTGGAAAACATGTAGGAAAGCAAGCTTGACGGGCAGGTAGATGCATGGTGGATCTGGGATATACAGCAGGAGCCAAGGTGGTGGAGGGATCTAGAAGCGTATGGAAACAGCGGGGGCCTATTGGGGTGGGAGGGAAGCCAAAAACAGAGGGAGAGAGAATTAGCTAGATGGTCCAAGCATAACCGTACCAGAGGGCCCGTACAGAAGATTATTATGATTGTGTAGTTGGTCGGGCAAGTTAGAACACACAATTGTGCAGAGGATAGAAGCGGGACAAGAAATTGGTGGGAATAAACTGGCCGGGCCGCGAGTAGTATAGAATCAAGAGTCCGAGGCGGGAATAGGCTATCATCACACATCACTCGATTTCTTTCGCACCCAATTGGGATGGGCGAGGTTCTGAGCTAACTCCGCTTCCCCGGGCTCTCCGATAAAACAACACAGGTTGGTATCATACTACGGTTGTATCTGATTGACCCCGCGCATGATACGAACAGTAAATGTGCCGGTCTGAACTCGCTGCCCAAGAATCGGGCGACCGCTTGTGTCACAAAAGACCCGGTTCTCCACTTAGTGCCCCATTAAACCCAATTTCCCCTCGGTTCAGAGCCCACTCACTGATACGTCGTAAACGCCGTTGCTCGGGCTTCGTTTCTTCCATAGGGCAGCTCCCTAGTTCCCTTTGACGGAATGTATACCCTACTTTGGGGGTATAATAATATATCGCCTACGCCGTGGAGTTCCTAGTCCTTATCTAATGCTATAATAATGTGATGATAGCCGCTAGAGGGCTCGTATGGGGCTTAGTAATGAGATTGGGGGGCACTTGATGCCGGACACCGATGTTATATGGTGCTCTTTTTGGTAACGTGTTCCCTACGGGGTGCCGGCGCTCTATTATAATCTCCAGGGCAGTCTCCTATAGTGCCTTCGCGTCCGCAAAGCTGTACTCGCCGACTCCCCTGGCGAAAGAGTGGGGGTCGGTAGACGGGTGATGCAGCATGACAGAGATTTGAGGCGTATCGTTTTGTGCAGTTCCCACAATGACGGGAGCTAGCGCTCGGATAGGCCTTGAACACAGGCATGGTCATATGGAAATCTGCGGTATGCATTGTCTCGCAGGTTGGTAAAAGGATCAATTGCCGAGTTATATACATCGATCCGAGGATAGGCATATAAAGTTTTCATATTCTCATAAATTATGTATAGTTAGGTTCTATCCTGGATTGGTCCTTTTCCAAACATACAACAATGCCATTACAGTACACGCTGAGTTTATATAGCACGTTAACTCCTTTACATTGGCAATATTGGAATGGAAATTGCGCTTACCTGTCACTCCACCAACAATATAGAGATTGGTCCTGTCCGCTGATTCAGGTTCGGTTCGGGGATAAGCATTATTAGGGAATAGTGCAGCCTCGGAAACCTACGAGTTTCACATAAGTATTCTGTCAACAGAAGAGCACAGTGCAAGCCTTACCGTGACAAAAAGCTCGGATATGGATGTCCAAGCGGCGCTCACATGTAAAGGTGCTGACATGCCAATCTCGCGTGTATAAACATCCGGCTGGATTTCTGCCCTTTGGGTTGTCTTATCCAGGTCCGCCTTTAGGGCTGCATAGACCGCCGGAAGCTCGTCGAGTTGGGGATACCGAGCCTAGCATGTGAATTAGTATGTACTGCCGGCTATAGATAGACTATTCGTACTCGTAGGTCAACTATATGTGCAAAACTGTCGGGATCAGACGAGTCGTAGGTGTAGCAAACGACGTCACAAGAATTCAATTTCGCTTCATTTTCCAGAATTGCGGATTCCAGTTCCCCTAGCTCTTCAATCTAAGATGTTGGTGTTAGTCGTGGGAGATTGTAATTTGCCTAGATGCAAGGGCTATACTATTAGATAGCATTGTTTACCCCCTTGTAATTCTACGCTGTTGACAGCGGTTCTAGGTTTGATTGTCGGGTGGTATGTCGAATCGAAGGGCCTGTTGAGAAATGCATCTAATATTGAGCTCTGTTTTCCAATTAGCTGAGCCTCGCTGTTAGTCTAATTAGGGAAAGGGCCGCACCTTTCCGCTCCCGCTTGAACCCAGTACGTAGCAAAGAACAACATTGCGTTCCACTCTCCCTTGCCTCCTCCGTCTCTTCCTTGGTTTAGTGACTTTCAACGCGGCAGCTGTACCACCTCTCTCGCCGCTTTCGAATCCCAAGTACGCCAGATAGGCTAAGGTCATTTTTGGATCCTGGAAAGTTGTCATACTCCATTGGGCTAGCCATCCCTGAAGCGTGATATGCCCGGCTTCAGATCTGACTGTAGAGGATGGAAACGAGGAATCCACCCATGATGCAGGAAGACCAGGAGTGGGGGCAAAGAGTGCTGCTAGTTCATCCCCGTTGAGTCCCCCGTCATTATCCTTATCAAAAAGGAGGAAAAGGTCTACGAAAAACCTATATCCAAGGGGAGAGAGTTCTGCTGATGCGTTGGATGGGACATCGAATCTGATAAAAGGGTCTTAGCTATTGCGAAAGTAGCAAAAATTAGGAGTATATAAAAGGAAACAGACTTTGGGTGTAAGAAACTGTCTTTCAGACTCAAGCTATCTGTATAATGAAAAACTCGTAGTATCGTCCAGATTGTTTCATGTCTAGCTTTTTCTGCGAACATCTTGCTGAGTAGGATAAAACCTTGTTTATCAACTCCCTCCTCGATCCGAGAATTAGGTAGCCGTTTCTTTATTGAAGCTTTTATGTCTTCAAGCTCCTCTGGAGTCAAAGATTTGTCAAAACATTTTTTCTAAGAGACACATGAGAAAGCATGCCCAGAGGGCCCATGGAAGGGTTAGGGTTAACTGGAGATGGCACCTGGAATTCTTGAAGCTCAAGATCGTTCAGAAAGCCGTCTTGATCCTTGTCGCATAGGACTGAGAACGTGATTAGCGTCAGGCGCCTGCCGAACATAGAGGGGGGCACTAACAGAAGATTCTTTGAAGAGCTGCCACCGCGGCAGGTTTAAGGTTCTACGGCGGATGCTAGTGAGCCTTGCTAAACGGGTTTGATTTCAGAACGGCATACCTGTTCTTTAGAATCATATAGGGGTGCGACCGGGTGTGTTACAGCTTTTTGGCACAGGTAGAAAAGCTCGTTAATGTTCTTTTGCTCTTTTGCACTAGCCCGTATGCACGAGTCGATTTCCTGAGAGCCAATGAGGTCAATACTTCATCAGGGCCGATGCGGCTGAGAGGAGTGACCTTGAATTCCAACATTATAGGCATCATTTCTTCTTCAGGGTCAACATCGGGAGATAGATCTGTTTTGTTTGCGCATAGAACAACAGGAAGCTACTCTTATTAGCCTGAAGTAATGCGGTTCAGAGGTGATGGACAAACATTTACTCCCAAACTCCGAAAAAATGGAAGCCTGTGAAATTCCGCAGTTAGAATCTGGACTCTCGCGTGGAACAAGACGGTAACAATACCAAAATAGGGAAACCCTTTCATAGCTCTGGGGGGACAATCAGCTGAACATTCAAAATGAGACACTGTGACCTGGGTAGCTGACATAATGATCTGAGTACACCAGACATATGACATTGGATCGCCGAATTTCTTTACGAAGGGTATTTCGTTCTTGCGGAAGAGCTGCACAGGAACTGGCTATTAACGGTCATCGGACTTCCAGCCCCTAAGGTCAGGCACATACCAGAGGTGTCAACGATGGTTGTTGTAACATTTTCGGGGGCACCTATTGTAATTGCGGGGAGTATTGGCTGGATCTTGCTCGGGATGAAGACATCTTTGACTAGAGAAGTAATCAGGGATGACTTCCCAGTGCCTAATGTAATTTTTGATGATGACGGTCAGAAGCTATCTGTTCGGATGGGTTGATAAGGGACACACCTTCGTCTCCACACACAACTATTCGAACGGTATCAGCCATCCCAGCGAGAGCGAGTGGGATAGGTAATGGGTGCAGTAATTGGAGTGGCTAGCACACTTTTTTTTGTGAAGGCTTCGGGGGTAGAGATGCCAAAGTGTACAGGCTTAGGCGGTATGGTAGATGAGGTTGAATGCAGGGAAGGGAGTTGGTGACACTGGGTGGGGAGTTTGTACCGGTATAATATTCGTGATCGGGAAACCAGTGGCCAGTCGTGGATGACACGGTTCGTCCGGGACCCATGAGCACGGTCAACTTGCACCTTAGATTAGCCGCTCACTAAAACCCTGCCGTGGAAAATTCTTGGATAGCTTCAGCCGAGGGCACTTTCACAAGAGCCTCAACATGCTATTGCAGCAGGTAATTCTGGTACAATGGTGGGAAATGTATTTTTTCCCCCCACTGGTTGGGTCTGCCTTGGAACCGCGTCTCGCTGTTGAAACCCACTTCTCAGGTACAGTATCATACAAATCAACTGGCCTTGGCGGAAATAGCCGCATCGTTCTGACGTGGGTATACCGGCACACCGCACATTTCTCCACTGCCAGCATCCAACCCCCCTTCCTAATCCATCTCATACAACCGCCATCTCCATTTCCCTGTTCCACTTAACCTGCTGTGTGTAATCGTGTGATCTTCCCCGCGCGGCTCTCTGCTCTGAGAAGCCCCGTCTAAACAGCTCCCGGATCGCGGTTTCATCCTACCTTAATCACCGCTTGTCTCTTCACATTATTCCGTGACGACAAGCCAATGTTCGTGCTACCGCCGACACCTCCTAGGCATCCAGGCACCCCCGGAGCAGTGCTTTGGGGTAACGGAGTGCCAGGCACTCCACTCCCCATTGTTGAGACGAACACCATCATTGCGTACCCTGAAGGCCCCGATTGCCAATTTTCAGTCGGTGAAGGTATGTTCCGGGCGTGTTCAGCCGGCGTTGTGCGGTCTTGGGTGGATCTCCTGTACCAATATTGGTCCGTCCGATGCGATATTCGTGTCGCGCGCGGAGCAAATAGGTTAGACTTCCAATTTACCCTTACTGACCATTTGGCCTCCGAATTGGCGCAGGCACGTACATATTGAAGGAGGATATCTTCCTCGCCACGCCTCTGCCGCATCCGACTGAGTCTCCAATAACCAACCTTAATCCTCTCAGCACAGCACCGCAGCCTACAGTTGCCGGTACTAAACTCTCTCTGGTTGCCATCAAATCAAAAGATGCACCCTCACCTATCTACCGTAGCCCCGGAATGTCGCCGAGCAGGGAAAGTCAGTCTGGGTATGACCCAAGAACTTCTGCGGACTCGCATAGTGTGAAAACGGGCTCAGGAAGCAATACATCTCGTAACGGGGATGGAGTAACCGTTGCTACAGAGAAGTTTGGAGGGGGGAATGCGTCTTTGTCCGCATCTAGCAAGGACACGGCCAAGAGAAAAAAGCCAAAGAACAATATTGCTAAAAACAATTCAACCTTCGTCTCGAGAATTGTTCCCCATGAAAACCTCGCGAAACGGCTCGCAGAGAGAAACTCGGAAGATTTGTTTGTTTTTGCAAACATACACCGGGCGTTCCATTGGTTGGATATGGGTTCCTCAGTTAAGGTTCAAACTTACCACTGCCGACTATTTATGTGCAAGAATAAACAACTTAACACTTTTACATCTTTTGTAGCAAGAACCTCTCTCGAAAATTTTATTCGCGAAAGCACATCCACTTTGCCATGATGTCAACCTCCTCACTAAGAGCTCTGCTCACTTGGATGTGATTATTGGTTTCTCGAGTGGGGACATTGTGTGGTTCGATCCAATATCAAACAAATATGCAAGGCTGAACAAGAATGTAAAACTTGTGCCCCAATTCTTCCCCGCATAGCTATATATCATAGATTCTTTGCGATTCTCATCTGTTTGTGGTATTAATGCTAATGAGCCCCCTGCCAATTCCAGGGCACGATAAACTCACACGCAGTTGCAGATATCAAATGGATACCGGGGACTGAAAATCTATTTCTAGCCGCCCACCAGGATGGATCTTTGGTAGTATACGACAAAGAGAAGGAGGATGCGCCATTCATGCCTGAGGATCCGCTGGATGCCACTGAAATGTCTGAGAAGACTGCTACAGGATCTGATACGGCAACTCTCTTGAGGTACTTTTCGGTGAGCAAGTCGGTGGAGTCAAAAAACCAACGAACCAATCCTGTTTCGTATTGGTCGGTCTCTAGAAGCGCCATTACGGCCTTTGCCTTCTCTCCCGACTGCCAATATGTTGCTGTGGTGGCTGAAGATCAATGTTTACGGGTCATTAATATCGTTAAGGAAAAGTGAGTGACCATATTCCGTGAGCGATGCAGTTATCTCGATTGCGGGGCTACTTAAAGTACTTACTCATTTCTTAGGCTTCTGGATGTTTATAGTAGCTACTATGGCGGGCTGATGTGTGTTTGTTGGTCCCCGGATGGAAGATATGTTGTCACTGGTGGTCAGGACGACCTGGTATCCATATGGTCGTTTCATGATCGGCGCATCGTAGCCCGTTGTGAAGGGCACCATTCATGGGTATCCAGTGTAGCCTTCGACCCTTGGCGTTGTGATGATCGTACCTACCGTTTTGGGAGTGTTGGGAACGATTGTAGACTGTTGCTATGGGACTTTAGCGTTGGAATGCTTCACAAACCGAAGGCGGTACGGCCCGAGAATCCCCTTCCCTATCTCTTATTTTTCCTGGCGTGTTTCCCTTCATTTCCACCATGCCACCCTGCTGAAAAGAAGGTTGCCGATTTGCGAAGCTGCAACCGATAACCAGGGTTACTAGTATCAGATGTTTTCAAGTATGATACAAGCAGGATCTGTGGCTAATTCATCCCTTGGCTGGATCTAGGCGGCCACACAACAGCGCGGGAGCATGCCAACTCACAATTACCAGTCTCAGAGTGGAAGAATTCACGCAGAGAGCCTCTCGGGTAGGCTGCGGTCGAATTCTAACATCGCCTCCACCCATGACGAGAGTTCGGACCAAGCAATCGGTGTTCATCCCGTAGAGGAACGTGCACGGACTGCCGTTCTACCGCCAATCATGGTAAGTCGAACCCTCCTTATTGTTGTCGGGTGGAACGGTTTTTCCGGGATCGTACTCGGCTGGAAAAACTAAGACTCCCTCTCTCTTTGCCCAAAAGGGTCCCACTGTTGGGAGGGGTTTTTTTTTTCTCAACCGGTGCCTTGAACTGAACTAACGGCAAGGCTGCATATGACGAAAAACAGTCAAAAGTCATTGATGCGGAGCATCTCACCCAGCTAGTTTTTCGGGAAGACTCAATCATTACAACATGCGTAGATGGTACGTGCTCTCCTCCCAACAGCTTTTTTTTTTTTGGCTCCCGGTTCTTTTTTTTTTTTTCCTTCCCTCCAAATCTCGAAATACAAGTACTTTCCAAGGGGTTCCTGCCCTTGTTCCTGCCCTGGCCCTCTTTGTCGGACATCACATGGTATCGTACGTAAAAAGAGATCCCCCACGGCCTTCTGATATCTAGCTCTACCCGAGTAGAGCCAGCTCCTTAGTTTAGCTTTATCCCCACTCTAGCACCACCGATTTCCATTGCTTGATTGCTCTGCTCCTGGAACGATTCATGGGGCTAACTTCTTTTTTCTCTTCCCTAACCTCGCGCCGCGAGGGAGAGGAAAACCTCCGACGGTACGATAGGCCACTTGAAGACGTGGAATCGACCACATGTAGAACAAACCCAGAATGGTAGCGAGGTGACACTTTCGGCGGCAGGGAGTTGACGCGCTGTGGTATATACTGGTATTGATGGTAGTGAGTATCGTGCGTTGCGATTGATTGATTGATTGGTTGGTTGGTTGATAGACGGACTTCATAGCCTACCTGGTGTTGTCAGTTATCAATCACATTCGTTGATTGCGATACGGCGCTCGGCTCGTTTGTCTTGTTATTGGTTTCGCTACTGTTCTTTTAGCCCATTTTTTTTCTTTTCTTTCTTCGCGTGCTTGTGGGTCTTGTGTTTTTTTGTTCTCCGATATGGCACATTTCCGCCTTATTATTTGCTACTGGTGTTTGCCTTTTTTTTCTTTCTGTTTGATGGTGTCGACTACCGGCATAAGCATTATGTTCTATAATAACAAGAAACTACCTGTGTGTGAACCACACAGGACCAGGTAGTGCCCACTTTAACACCTAGTTCTTAGATGTTGGAGCTGTAGAGTGTGATGTCTCAGCACTTGGTTGGTAACATACAGGGTATTTTCCTTGAGCAACAGGCAGTTGTAAGTACTGTATTTGTTTTTGTGTATTTCTTATAGTATATAAAATACTTGCAATTCACTTGGGATAACACATGTTTATACAGGGAGATCATCATATCTCACTCACTCATCTTCTGTTATTCGCTTAGGTTGCTACCTCATCTTCTTCTACCACATGTCAATTGTTCCTGCCTAGTGTGATTTCCAATTTAACCAAATTTTGCGGTATATTAGTATATAATACCGGTATTATGGTACCCGCGTCGTCGGGTTTACGTCTCTGTTGGCGTATTTGGCCGTAGGTGACAGATGACAGTACTGTACTTACAATCCCAAATGAACGCTGTGTACAGTACCGGTACTGTACGGTACAATGACCCTCGCAGTGATGGGTCCTGATCGCTCGTCATGGAATAACGGGGGTGACCACCGGTCACCGCCAGCACTGGTGGCGGGCGTCTGGATAAGCTTGAGTCTGCAGTGCGTTGCAGTATCATAATGGTGGGTATACTGTACCTTTATGCGCTGCAGTTTGTATGGTAGCGTGCGTGCTCGGTTCTGCCTTTGTGTTTTTGGCCGTGCGAGCAGCACGCAGTGGGTTGGGGGCACCGTCGAAGGTTTTGGAAAATCCCGGGATGGACAAATCTTTTTCTCTGTTTTTTTCTTATAGGCTCTCGAGTACTGTACTATGATACCTTTAGTGTCGTATATTACCGAGTACGGTACTAGTGCCTATCTAAAATGGGAGGGTTCGGGTTGTAAGTCGGAATTTCGGGTGGGGGCGGGGGTGTTTCTTCTTTTTTCCTCCTCCCCACCCCTCTTTGTCTGCTTCTTCCGTATCCGACGACTGATAGTCTATGCGGAAGGATCACCGTTGCAATACCGGCAGAGTGCGGGTTCGATACTGTACCGGTATGATACGCCCGCTCAGACCATATCAACTCACCAATCGTACTCGAGTAGACGTGGAAAGATTCGAGTACCGGTACTGTACGAGTACTACGGGTATTTGTCGTGAGGCCGCAGGGGTTGTGGGTTGTGGATTCCGGTTGTGGCTTGTGTGAGAGAGTGAATTTCAACCGTTGGGCGAACAGGGGTGAAGCACTCACCCTTTCACCCTCTCCCATTACGGCCCGTGGACTTGTTTTACCAGAGTGATGGATGAGCGTGGGGGTACTTGTGCTGTACTCGGGAACGGTAGGGATTGCACTGTGTGGGTGCGAAATAGGTAGGTGGAAGAGAAGGGATCTTTGGAAACGCCCTTGCGATTGCTTGCGCGGGCTGGAAACACCCAAAGTCGGGATGAACGAGATATGTCGCCGAAAACCTGTGTGCATCGGAGAGCTGAAAGGGGAGCCCTCGCCTGGAAAGAGGTGTAAAGGGACGGGAGGGATTCCGAATTGGTGGCGGTTTATCGTGTGTCTTTGCGATTGCGGACTGTGCCGGCCGAAATTATTGGAGATCCTGAAGCTTGCTTTTAATCTTGAAGATAGAGTTATGCAAACTGGAGTTGAGCCCGATATGGTTTAGAATCAAGGATGAACATGTAAGCGGCAAACTAAAGAAAGAATCCACATCTATATACGGTATGCCCTTTCTGTATCACATGCAATCGCGGCAAGCTGTGAAAGGGAAATATCTATAAGCCGTGCTAGTCGTATGTATGTGTCACATGACCCACAGATGTGTGTGGAAGTGTCACTGTCGGCTTCCGTAATTTGGATGGTGTGATAGACCGAGCTGACACCTGTGCAATTGAGTTGACCATGCAATGTGATATTAAATCAGATAAGAGAGTAGAATTATGCTGATAAAGTTGACAGTAAAACACAGTGAGAGGGCAAGAGAAAAAGGGTGGAGAAACAAAGCTCCAAAACAACAACAAGGAAGGTGGTGAAAGTAGGTGGTATAGGATGGGTCTCTCATGCTCTGTTCCTCCTCTCTCTGAGGAAGGCAAGGCCATGCCTCCAGGCGAAAAATTTCCACCTGCTAAGCCTCATCCCAAACAGAAAATTCTATGGGTAAAAACCCACAAAACATGACCAGAAAACCCCTAAAACCTTTAACCTGCCACACCGGTATGGCATATGATACGGGATGTGGAATCGTATCATTCAGCACTGGCGTCCGAAGGGAGTGGAAGAATGCGAGGTTATGGCGATTGGGGTGTAGGCGGAAGCCCGATGGATGAGGGACGATCTTCATATCGGTGCCCGAGCACGGTAGAGAGGTGAGCGATCCGATGGTTCCGTTGAGGGGGAATAAGGTTTTGGTTAGAGGGGATTATAGGCCACTTAAATTTATCTGCATGCGTCTGGGGAACCGGGCGTGGTAGGAGGGACCGATAGGGCTACGAAACGGGTTAGGTGTGGCTTCTCCCTGATGGCACGAGGACCTTCTATCATATGGCATCCGGCTTCCATCGATCGGGACTCGGCAGCACTTGGAGGGGGGGCGAACGCGTGGGCGAGAGGACGGGCGGAGGGGTCCAGGAAGGCATATGCTATCATAATAGTCTACCGGCACGGTTTCTGTCGCAATAAACCTGCTCATGATAAGGAAGCAGGATAGTCTGGTTTCAGGTTGAATGATCGCTGCCAATGAGAAGGCGTTTTTTTTCGATTTTGGGATGATGGAATGCAGCCGGACAATCTGCTGCATCGGTCTACGATTTTTAATCTCCGGAGATGTGGACTGGGAAACCGTGATGTTGGGGCTTGAGGTTGGGGCTGTTTGTACGGGAGCTTCGGTACAGTACGGTACGGTATGATACTTGTGCTATATGGGCTGCCCGCAATGTTACGTATGATAGGCGAATCACAGGGGGGCTAAGGCACGCATTTTAGGGGGTGGGACATCCCGCTGGTCCCGATTTGGCCAGGTTATATCTATCCTTCAGAAACCCAGGGTTACAATGACCGCAAGATTGGAAAATAATAATAATAAAGAGAGTAGGCAGGAATGCCAAGGGTTCGACTAACAATCAAGCCGCACGAGAGCCTCATGTGGACTACTCTCGAAGTATGATACTCGCATCCTACAGCTTTATCGCGGCAGGGGCCATAAGGGTGCCGTCGGGAAGTGTCTCGCTCCAGAACTTGATGATGGACACCGAACCGCATTTGTGGCTGTTACCCGCAAAATTGGCTTTATCTACACCCTCCTCAAACTAACCGCTCCCGGTATCGTGAACCGGGCCAGGCGAGGTAGGGGAAAGGATGAGTGGGGGAGAAAGAAAGGAAAGGAAAAGTACCGTACGGTGCGAGTAGGGATGAAGATTGGCCTGCAAGGATGACAAAGGTTCGGAACATCCTCCAGGCCGTCCCTACTTGTACGAACATGGCATGGCTCACGCGTAGCGTACTGGTATGCGATGCCGTGGCCACAAAGGGTCCTTCTGGGAGGGATTTCGCCTTGCCGCAGCTCCAGATGCGTAAACCTGGTCTATCGCACGTACCTGCGTACAATACTGTGGTATAAAACCTTTCCTTTCTTTTCCAGACAGCTTCGTCTCCTCACCCACTCCCCACCACTATTATTACCCCCCATTGGCTGTCTGTTCTCCTCCAGCATCCTCTTTTACAAGCCTGTTTGGGGCGTCCGTGTGTGCCTGTGTTTGTGTGTACGGACCTCCAGTCTTCCTGCACCCCGGGTTCCGATTTCCAATATCATACTGTACTCGCCAAGGCTGTTTGTGAAAGTCCGTCCCACAGACTTTCGCCTCATACCACTGCGTACAGCCTACTATCCTAAGCACTGCGGCAAACCTGCCTATCACTCGGCCATCGTCTAGAGGCAAGGTGACTGAGCACCGCCCCCCCCCCCTCCTCTTGTCTGGACCAGAAGAGAGGGGAAGAGAGAGCTTGTTGGCTTTCACTGTGACTACCACTACTATTGCTGTTATACTGTCATACCTTTGGAATTTCCGGAGGGTCATCGCTGCTCATTCGTGCGAGTTGTTTTCGTGGAATGTTTGCCAGAATGTCTCTTTTGAACCCGATTCACAGTCATACGATTCCATTTTGTGAGATTAGGTACGAGGGCCTCCTTCTCCCTCTGCAATTGCGGCCTCTAGTTTGCCTCTACGGAGGGCGGTGCTTATTTCTGTTGTGTAGACTGAATGACGACATTGCCTTGTTCAGGGGAACTCCAGAGGAATCTGCTGGCGTGATGCTGAGTGGAACACTCGTTTTCTCCGTTAAAGAGCCAGTCCCCGTTCGGTCAATCTCTTTGTCGCTGGTGGGCTGGAGAAGGCTGCAGTAAGTCCTTCCCTCCCGCTTGAAACAAGGCCCGAGCCGGGGACGAGGCATAGTTATGATAGTGAAAAAGGCTTGGACGCTGATGCTCCGGATTCCCTTCCGCATTGTTGTACAAAGTTGGCAGGAAAGGACTTCCACAGGTTCTATCGGCATTCCTTTCAGGTCGGTTAAAAGCGAGAGCGTAGTGTTCGAGAAGAAGTGGGATTTCTTGGGGTTTTCTCACAGCAACCCTGTGACGCTGGGCCCGGACAATTATGAGTGCAGCTTTAGCACTGTCCTGCCCGGTGGTTAGTTTGTTCCTCCTCCTACCAATTTACTCGTGTGGCGGCAGGGCGTCTCCGAATTTTGCTCTTCGTTTGTGAATTTGTGCGCTGACACTTGCGCCGGCGGAGCCTAGATCTCCCCGAGTCGATCGTGGGGCTGGAGCACGCTCAGGTATTCTATCGGCTAAAAGCAGTGATTGAGAGGCCCCTGTTTGCGCAGAATATCACTGCGAAGAAGGTGAGTCAGCCGAACGTTTGTGGAGTGTGCGGGTTTATTGGTATTTGTGAAATATGTGGGGCTAGGGCTGACTGGATTTCCCGGCCCGGATAGCATTTAAGGGTGGTCTGGACTTTGGGTCCTAGTGCGTTGGAGCTATCACAGACTGCGGTGGGTTTGGCGTGTTGCCGGTCACATCCCCCAGGGTTCTTTTTCCTAACATGCATACCCTTGTAGTCCGTGGAGAAGATTTGGCCCGACAAGGTGGAATATTCGATTAGTACTCCCAGCAAGGCTGTTATTTTTGGATCATCCATTCCTATCGATATTACACTTGTGCCTCTGCTTAAGGGACTTACTGTAGAGAAGGTTATTTGCGACTTTAAGGAATTGCATAACTTTAGCCACCCCGAGAGGGGCACTACCAAGAACGATACCAGGCACATTTTGCAGCAGACTTTTGAGAATTGGGGGATTGAGGTGGAGGATGATGATGAGGATTTCGGAAGTTGGAGGCTGCAGGGCAGCGTCGATCTGCCAAAGAGCTTGGTTAGATGCGTTCAGGATTGCGAAGGTGACTTCATCGAAGTTAGACATAGGTGAGTATTCACGACGGATCTATGGGCGGCGCCGGAACTACTGTTAACCGAAACCTCAGACTCAGATTCGTGGTCAAGCTTCGCAACCCCGATGGGCACGCCTCTGAGGTGGGTTTGACTGAATGTTAAGATTTGTTTTCAATCGCTGACGTATAATCACAGATACATACATCCCTTCCCGTACAACTATTCATATCTCCAAATCTACTGATGGACGAAGACAATGTCATTCATCGGACCGCCTCATCAAGGGACCTCGCCCTGCCTCAAAGCCAAGCGCCTCCGCGTTATGACGAACATTACCTGGATCAACTATATGACGGCCTACCCCAGGACCACTACGGAACCCCGATGCAGACTCCACTCCCTTCTCGCCCACACTCGCCCAACCTCTTGCAGCAGAACTCCTCCGAGAATCTTGCCCCATTTCCGCCAAGTGGTTCAGGAAGGTCCGTTTCTTCCATGCCGCCAAGGACACCCAGCCACGGGGGTACCGGAGGCGCTAGTGCCCCGCTAGCACCCCCGACTTCGCCAGCCGGGGTCACGGGAGAAGGAGAAGCAGCACAGTTGGGCCGACACGGCAGTGGGGACTACTTTTCGAGGCCGGCGGGATTAGGTGGACACGCTACGCACTATAGTGGGCCTAGGATGAGAGCGCACTCGTCGGATAATCTGCCGGGGGGTGAGTTGGATCTCAACACAATATCGAGAGTCCCGTCGTATAGCGCTGCGGTTCGTTCGGGAACAGGGAATTTGAGTTCTGCTTCAAGCCTACCTACCTACGATGATAGACTCCGCAGCGCACCTGGCAGCCCAGCCGGTCGCCCCCTGAGCAGTCAGCCCCGCGAGTCCTTCCATGACACCTTGCGTGCACTCCGGTAGAGACGGAAGCGATAGGCAGAGGTCGGGGAGAGATCACCGCAGACGCCACACCGGTGGAGCTACTGATTCTGACAGTGGCGGAGGGCGCTCTTTCATCACAGGCTGAGAGAAGGCTGAGGAGATTTTGGCTTAGGGGACGGTAGACAAGTCACACTTTTTACATTCCCCCTTCTAGTTCCTATGCTTATTTCCTTATTTTCTTGTGGACCTTTCTGACCCGAAGGGGTTGTTTTTGATGTTTGAATGAGTTTGGTGGATACTATTTTTTTTTCCGGTTAGTTTTCCCTTTCTTAATGTTACGCTTTGTATATACACTCCTCTCTACCCTGTCTGTTTTCCTTTTTCTTTTTCTCCCACCATCTCCGCTTTGTAGCTATAGATGGAGTATTAGGATTTTGTTTATTGTTTCCTCTTCCCTTCCAGTGCTAGACGGTGGGGGCGTTTCCTTTTGATAGAATTTTTTATGATTTTTCTTATTATTGGGATGAGGAGGGGGGGGACATCAAATAGAAACTAATGCCAGTTCCTCCCTCCAAAGTATGGGGAACTTTTACAGCGCACGATTAGTTCTTCGAGTGATGTTATGTGAATTCGGCGATAAAAAAAGGTGCTTTACCGTGGCGCGGCGTCTAAGTTAAGTTACCTTGAGAACGCCGTATACGAGTACTCGTACTCGACCAGACATGGGGAGCTTTAGTAGACTTGGCGGTACGGAGGATGCGGTCTCCAACCTGATACATACCAACCACCGCTCCTAGGCCTCCGGTGGCAAATGGATCCCTCTCCGGATCCGAATCCAAAAACTTGGATCCATGGCCATGGCGAGGGTGCAATTGGATACTTTTTTTCTTTCCTTTTTTCCTTTCATAAGGATGAAAGAGTAATTCCAGATTCCAATCCGAATTCTGCTCCCCGACTACCGGTATGGATAACGATGGGCACACTTTCGCGAAGGGTGTTCGGAATGTTTCACGGGGTGACGCTATTCCGTGACGACGAGGCTTTTGCTGGACCTCCCGTGCAAGTAACGAGTGCCTTATGGTGAGTGCCGGCGAAGTGACCTTCGTGACGACAATCTTCAGTCTTCACCATGACGTCAGATCGCTAATTAACAGGGATATCTTGAAAGAGGCGACTGTTGGAGCGTTAAGTTGCCCCCGCACTCGAATGTTGTGTGTAGCACCGAAACGAGTACAGTACAGTACAGTACATACTGTACAGTGCTGCATGATGGCTACCATACCATATTTTAGATAAATGCAGGGACGACCCAGGGGGGCCTGTCGGTACCGCTCCTACGGTAACGCTCCTTTAAAGCTATTATCCCTTCCGATTCCTCCCACCGCCGAGCAGTAATTTATGATTCCCTTGGATTGGGAATAGGGAGAGGAAAACGACAAAAAATAACCTTCCCCGATTACCCAGGTTTGATTGGGATAGTTACGATCAGTGAGTTAATACCGGACCAATCGAGAATATCGATTCACCGTCTCCTTCTTCCAACGCGTTCTCTCTGCTTACCTAAGTTCACTTTTGCAGCACCCCCACTTGTCTCATTTGTACAGGAAATTACAGTGCTGAAACCGCCATGGCTGCTGCGTTGCCTCAGAAGGAGGAGGGACACCCCGCTCTTCGCCACGACAACACCATCGACTCAATGGCATCTGAAGAAGCGATTCCTGTTGAGAAAGGGGACGTGGCGGGATTGTTAGTCGAGCGGTTGAGAGCTTGGAAGCATGCGGTCGGATACATCGAGGCTTATGTTTCCCATACGGAAGCTGCGCATAAGGCGATGGCCAAGGAGTATGAGAAGGTTTTGAAGGTGTGTATCGCCCACCGCTTGAAGTTTGTGCTTGCGCTGAATCAATTGTGTGAAATCGTAGAGTGTATCCGAACCGTTGAGGGAGGGACATCATTTTGGTGAGCCTACTTCCCTTTCGATCTAGACGGGGCGCGGGGCTGATGATGAGTAGCCCAAGACGTCGGCGGTGTTGCCTCGTTCTTCGAAAACGTCCGCACAAACACTCAGGGCATCACGCAATCCCACCATGAAACCGAGCGGGCATTGAAGACCCACGTCCTCCCCATCCTGCAACGCCTTCACACGGAGGTTAAAGATCGCGCGAAGCACATCCACAGCGCCTCGGAAAAGAGCTCCAAGAGCGTCGGGAAGGCCCGCAACCAGACGCAGAATCACATTGAGTTGCTAGGCCAGCATGCCTCGGGCTTCGATTCCATGGGGTCCGGGCAGAGCACGGCGCCGGGCGGACTCGCGCACATAAGCATCCCCGGAACGCACTCCCATGGGAATGGGGGCAAGTTGAAGCCAGACGTTGACCCGTACATCTTGCAGAGGGGTGTTCTGCACAGATTGCATAAGCAGGTTATTGAAGAGAACAATCACCGGCAGGATCTGCTGGGTGTGCAGAATCAGATGCAGCAGTTTGAGGCGCATATTGTTCAGACGATACAGCAGGCGCTTGGGTGTTTCTATGAGCATGTCGGGGCCCAGGCGGATAGGCAGAAGGCGCTATATGGGGATATTATTGGTATGTGGGAAAATGAGACTTTTGGGTGGGCTGTGTGTGGGTTGGGCTAATTAGAGCGTTTTTTTTTTTGAATAGCTGCCGGTCAAAAACTCCCTCCGGATTTCGAATGGAAAGGGTTCGCGACTAGATACGCCAATCTACTCATCGACCCATCCGCGCCCGCGCGATCCATTGAGTCAATTCAGTTCCCTAATCAGGGTCACCAGAGCACAAAGGCTTTGATCGAGGGCACCCTGAGTAGGAAAGGGACAGTCATGAGGAGTTATAGCGCGGCTTACTATGTCGTCACTCCATGCAAGTATCTACATGAATTTAAGGACAACGATGCTCGTCCCCTTCTCCATCACCTCCGCAATGCTCCGACAGTGTCATTAACGAGTAATAGAACTACTCCAAAGACCCCAGCCCAGAAATGAGTCTCTACCTCCCGGACTGCACCGTCGGCGCGCTATCCAAACCTCCAAACGCGAAATTCATCGTTTCCGGAAAAGACGCGGGGAGCACCATGAAGGCTCTGTCGTCCAAGCACGATTATGCCTTCAAGGCATCTACTTACGAAGATGTATCCTCCACCACCGTATCCCACGATTGAACCAGAAACTAACAAAGAGAAAACCCCACAACAGGCGGCAAGATGGCACCAGATCATCTCCACCTGCGCAGGCCTCACCACGAACGAGTCGCCGCTGCAGAGTCCCGTCTCACCGACCGGTTCTAGTGCAGCGCCCGGCGCTGCGACACCCCTGAGCTACTCGCGCACCGGCATACAGGAATTGGGCGTTACGAGTGTGGGGACTAATGGTGCTCAGGCCGGGAATGGAGTTTCTGGAGTGCCGATTGTTGGGGCGGGGGATGTCAAGAGGCCTTGAGTGGGTGGTTTTGCAGTTATTATCCTCTGCTCCTGTTTTTTCTGCTGGCTGGGCGAGTGAATGGTTTTGAGTGATCGGGTATGATTGGATTGGATTGGGGGCGGGGTGGTAATAATGGATACTTCTCTTTTTTTTTTCTTTTTTTTCCTCTCTATTCTTCCCATTTCTTTTCACTTGAAGTCCCACAATCGGATCCGAAGAGGTTCGGCCTGGACTTGAATTAATGAGGGACATGTACGGCCGGTAACTTGTGGCAATACTCTTGCAATTGAAATTCGTTCGATGGATGGATTGATGGACGCAAGTGGTATTATATGAAAGATCAATGCTAATGATGCCCTGTATGGGAACTGGAGTCCTGTGCTCGTCCCAACTCGGCACTGCCTCGCATAATATGTTCCACTCCTCCGCAGGAGACGGGTTTTGACGTCACCCAGGGGACTGGAAGACCCGCAGCGCGCGTATATTTGTAAGATCGGATGTATATCCATGAGTAACTGTATTGTGCGTTGTGAAACCAAAAGCACCCCATCTAGTGCCTAATAGACATCAAACACACAAAAGGGAGGGGAATAAGGAAAAAAGGGAAAAAAAGGCACCAGCAAAGGATCGCGAGAAAAAGAAAGAAAGAAAGCGGAAAAGCCACAACCCAGCGGAAGAAGGGGGTGTGATATTATAAAAAAAATCAAATTTCTATCCATCGAAACCCCCTACAAACCTTCCCTCCCCCGATCGAACGCTTCAAGGTCATATTCATCCGGGTACTCATCAATAATCCTCCTGAGCTCCGCCATCTGCTCCTCCAGATCACGGCTTGGGACCTTGTAGACGTCCAAGAAGAGGTTCTCGAGCGCTGGCTTCTTCTCCTTTTCAGCGCGGGCGAAGGCCTTTAGGATGTCCTTGCGGACTTGAATGCGGAGTTCTTGGTCTTGCTCGCCCGACCACCAGGATTTGGATTCTAGCCATTTGCGCATTCTGTGGAGACGCTGTTATCCTGGATACAGGGACAGGGAGTGGGGAAGAGTGGCGGAATACCTAGTGATGGGGTTGTCACGGCGTTTCCAGTCTGTCGGCATTAGGTCAGTGAGATTCGGAGAGTGAGCGGGGGGGGGGTCGAGGAGGGAGTGCCTTCAACTTCAACTTTAGCTCTATAGGCGAATGAATCGTCGCTAGTGGAATGGTGTGAGACGCGGTAAGACATGGCCTCAATAAGCACAGGCTTTTGTTCCTTGAGGGCTATGTCCCTGGCTCTCATTGTGACTTCTCGGACTGCCATAATCTACCGCACCTTCTCGTCAAACACCTATATAGAGGATGAATCCGCTCTCCCCGAAGGTTACACCCACATCGTTTCCGTCCACCCGGATAGTGTCAATCCCGTATCCAACACCCCTACTACCGATGCCGTCCCCCTTGTACTGTTCAAGAGTTGGGGTACTAATTGCGAATCCATTATTCCGGCAAATAAATAGTACCGGGCAGGAGCGTGTGGCAGCAATGTTCAACGCTGCATGGAAGTCACCCTCTGAGGCAGCACCCTCCCCGAAGAAGCAAACGGCGATGCGGGAGGATTGATCGAGTTTTAGGGCGTATGCTGCGCCTACAGAGTGGGGAATCTGGGTAGCCAGAGGGGAGGAAATTGGATGCTGCAGCAGTAGTGTCAGTAGCCGGAGAAATTCGGTGGTGCAGTGGGGTTATACCATATGCAGTCTCTCACTCATATAATGAATGGGCATATTCTTGCCTTTCCCGTAGTCAAATTTGTTTGCAAAGAGTTGGTTCATGAACTATGGCCGATTAGAGCTAAGGGCACGCCTCACTGAACTCTATTAAATCAAGAGGTCTACCTCGTCGAGTGTAAACCCACGGTACATCATCACTCCCTGTTCCCTGTATTGAGAGAATATGACATCGTCGGGAGCTAAAGCCGCAGCAGATCCGACGGCGATTCCTTCTTCGCCGGCAGAGACCTAACGACACACGTTGGCATTGCCCGCTCCACTCAAATGAAGGGACCATATTTCCATACCATATAAAAACTTATCCGCCCCTGACGTTGGGATTCGTACCTAACCATTCTCGTCAGCACCCCCATACTTCCAGCACCCGCAATCTCGAATCTAAAGCTAACATGAGTAAATCCATAATGCTAGCTACACCCGCCGCTGTAGTCAACACCTACTTTCTAGTTCCAATTTAATTCGCCTCACGGAAACGACAGGGGGGACCTACTGGTAATCATATCCTTATACATCTTCAATGCCAACTCCTGACTAATGTCCGGCTCTCTCGACTTGTCTACAACCTCCCCGTGAGTATCAATCAACCTATAGGTTGGGATAGCCGGGAGGTCCTGCGGCCTTTGGAACTTGAGCTCATGGGTGAACTTTGAATTCACCGCTCCAGGGAACAGCACACTATCCCAACATTAACCCATTATCTCCCCAGTCCTCCCTCCGAATGACCATTGTGGGCAAACCTATCAGAGTGCGGCGGCTGCTTCATCGGAGCATTCTGCCGAGCGATCACCGAGGACGCAAAGTATCTAGCGGTACTCGGTGGGGGTAGCAATCGGGCCCTGGCAACTCCAACACAGAATGATGCTCTTAACGAGGTGAGTAATACCATCTCAGCCGTATGTTTTATTCCAAAAGGCTCTTTTCTAGATCGCAATAGGAGAGAGGGGAGAGTTGTAAAAGGGTATGGTAAATTTATAGACAAATGGGTTAGATTTCGGAATTGTTGGATATATCATACAAGCTGAATTCGGGAAAGGTGAAACCGAAAGTCTGGGGTTCGGCTATTGCCGGCGTTGACACCCCCACACATTAGCTCCGGACACCTCGAGGAGCCTCAACGGCTTGGCATGGGAATATTGGCTAATCCGAATTTGGAATAAGTTTCCGGAGGAAAATCAGACGTCGTTCGTGCCTTGGATGAAGTGGCCGAGAGGAATGGCCCGGATTGGAAGATGAGCTTGGGGGTGTTGTGAGAATTAACTCCATTATTTCACAGAAATCAGTCCACCGAAATTTAACATCGGCATTCTCATGTCTTGTTATCCCTGGTTGTGAATGTTGAGTAAATTAGTACCGTACTGCATTATAAATTTACTAGTGTTGGAATGCTCCCATACGTTATAGTTCATGCTGTCCGAAACGTGCACCAACTTCCAACTCCCCAGATGCTAAAGAAGGTCTGTTGAGAACCCCGATCACTGGAGAAAGGCCTAGTTATTATTCTCCTCCATCTTCTCTTTTCTGAATAGGATTTTTTTTTCTTTTTTCCTTAATCAACTTTGCTAGGTCTGGGGCCTACAAAATTAAAAGGTTGAATATTTGGCGCACGTTCTGGATGGCACAAACTATGCCATATTGTATAAACTGGCACCGCATTGTAAACCAGAGTTGCAAGGCACGCGTCCCACGCTACAAGATTTGATGCCGGGCAGAAAGCGCAGAGAACTAAGTTTCATTACAACGAGCGGATTTTGGATCACCAGCTCAAAGGATTAAAGGATGGGTAGGCTAAAGACTTGGGGGAGGGGCTGTGGCGGTGTGTGTAGGGGGATTGCGTAGGGGGACGTTTCTGAGGAGGAGCTAGGTTGGATCCACGAGATTCTTATCCGAAATGCCGTAACTTCTTTTCCTCCTTTGCAGCAACTTGTGACGCCCCATCTTACAGTTCCATTGAGTCCTGAATTCTTTCTTTGTACTGTACGTAGCGTAGATAACAGCGCTGGTATGGGAAGTTATCGTAAAGTCCAATGTAGGAAGAGCAGCGTGCGAGTTGGGAGAGAGCAGAGTGGAGGAAAGGACTGCTATATAGGATGGAGGGGCTATGAGGAGTAGTTCGGCGGTCAAGAGTTTGAAGTTTTTCTTGTATTGTTTTCAATGCCTGCTTGTGTCCCACATTGCAGTACTTATATACATCCACAAGTACCCATATACCATGACATGAATTCTGATATTCCATGCTGGGCATACTTCCGTCATATTGAGGCAATATCTCCTGCACTCAAGCCCTGAACTTGGACGAGTGATGGTGTATGACGGTGTTTTAAGGCAACAGGGAAAAGGAGCTGACAACTGAGCCACATGCAGGGAGATGGCAGGCAATGCTTAATTGAAGCGAGGTACATGGGCAGGTTAAAACAGAGTCGAGGTTTCTATTTGGCAGGTACCGCGCTAATCAGGGCTTTTATTTGTGTTTTGGGGTAATGGATGCTAAGATTTCAAGAGTATAGTACATGATATTATGGTAATTTCTTTCAGGGTTGTTCACCGGGTATCTACTCTCCCGCCTCGCTTAGTGAGCTTAGTGGTAGATTTTGGGTCCTGAGCTATCCTAAGCTCTGGTGGGGGGCTGTTCGTCAGCATATGTATAGCTACTCTTTTAAGTACCACTGTCGTCCGGCTCTGATAGACCCCCCGACCATGGGCAAGGCGGGGCAGATCGCATCAAACGTAGCAACCTGCTGTGATACCACACTACGCTGAGGAGTGCTGCACCCGGGTCCCGGTGAATATCAGGAAGCACGGCCGTGCCCCCACCTTCATAGAACCCGGTACGGGGCTGCTGCAATAGCTTTCCGGCCTGTGTCGGCATCATGAGGGACTATGGTGTGGCGCTCTGGGTTTGGCGATACGTAAGCTTTTCGACTAATGCATTCATAAGGATTGATGCACCTGTGCACGTACCAAGCTAGACAATTCCATGGCGCTCTGGGATGTTCATTCGCCGCGGGGCAATATTTACGCTGTGCTTCTAGATAATACTTGGCGAGGTATGGTACAGTGCTTTACGCAACCAATGTAGTATGATACTGTAGGAACCGTCAGCGCGTTTTTGGCAGATTTGAGAGAAATTGATTGGATGGTCCTGAGTTATCCATGAAGCTCCACAAAACCCCGCTTATCTTCAGTCCCCAGGAATTCTGGTATTTGATTGAATCCATCATCCACAACACCGGAAGCATCGAAAGCCGAAAATGCCCCAATCGTTGGGTAATAATACAGGCTCTTTGAGCGCGACGGTTAACGTGTCGAGCACTACCATTACGAATAACTTGACTTTCACCGATGATCGACATAATATCCTATGCTGGCTATCCCCACTAGATCCTAGGTTACGGCATCACGACATTCAGGACCGCCGGGTCGGAAATGTAGGAGAATAGCTCTCACAAACCGGGGAATTTAGAAGCTGGTATGCCGGTAATGGGGGGATCGAATCCGATAGCGCGGTTTTGTTTCGTTAAGCGGCAGTCTCTGAGAGACATGCTGTGTGCCCCGCTGAGGCAGCTGGTTTCTGGGATGGAGGAGATTTTAGAAGAGATATCACAAGGATACCGAGCTCAACAAAATGCCATTGGAGGGCAGGGGCCGCGACTTTCCGATATGGTGAAGTTGATGCAGCTTACCTGTTCCAGAAAATGCACATCATGTGTGGATGCTCTGGATGAGTGCGTGGCAGGATATCGGGGCAAGCTTCTGGATCCGCTAAACCAGGTTTTCCAGGGTCACAAACATTTGTGACTGGAAGGCCATACATTCGATCTGGGGTCGGGGGGTGTCTTGCCGGGGGGGTAGTGGGTGTGTCCGTAGGTCACGGGGGGGTGTTGCTAGATATCTTCATACCAGGTTGCACGAGGACACGGCTCCAGATGCGGTGGATAGTAGCCTGGAGGCAAACACCTTGGGGAGGATTCTGGAATATATCTCTGAAATGCGCGTAGGGGCGACGAAACTGGGACAGCCACGTCAAGCTATCCTGACAGATACCTATCTAGATTTCTACTTGTCTCGCTGAATATCGATTCAATCCGGCAAGAAGTAGCAATCCACCGGAGGCGACCAAACCCCAGAGCAATGACCAATGGCCCGGGGCCGGGGGATGCTTACGGTATAACGCTGGATTGGATAAATGGCAGGGTGGGAAGAAAGCAAGGCATGGAATGGTCGCTCCGACGTGGATCTCTCACTCGGAGCGGGCCCTGAAGGCAGACGAACTGTGCCATCCTCTGGCGGTCGGGGTCAACGGCGACGACGTTCCTTCAATGGGGGCGCTGCTATCCTGTTGTCAAGGCCTTGTTGCCGTAGGCTAGGGAGGTTCCATGGGCCGTCTATTCCACTTTACCCTTCAAGAGTCCCTCCGGGCTCATCCCGAGCTTTTTGATACAGTCCACTCAGTACTGGCAGGCACCTGCCTAAGTTGTCTGAATCCCCGGGAGGTCAAGGCTCCTTCTTCTAGGCCCTCTCCCGATCTCCGATGCACCCTTTCCTGAATATTCTTCTCTATGTTGGGGGGCCCCCGCAACAAGAGGCCCTTCGAATAGAGCGAAATTTCTTGCGCTGAACCTATTTGCCGATGGCAATAACCATATATCCGCCGAAATTCTCCTGAAAGCCCGGAGCATGTACCCTATTGATCTCCTGGTTATCCCTATAAACTTTCCCTCTTCAATGGTCTACACTGTGTATCCCTCTTCTGTATTTTTGAGATCGTGGCTAGCTTGGTAGAAGTGGAGGGCTGTGATATCAACCAAAGGGATTGTGTGGGCGATACACATGTCATGTGGGGTGATTTGAATGGGCACCAGGGAGTTGCCGAGACACTGCTTCGGCGAGACGACATCGACCCTAACAAACCGCTTGAGGACGGCCGAACACCACTCTAGTGTTCCGCCCTCAGCGGGCACAAGGGAGTGGTGAAAGTTCTGCTCGGACGGGACGACGTGAGCCAGAAAAACCAGATCTGTACGGCCAAACACCACTCGATCGTGCTGCTTGGAATAGGCATGAGAGAGTGGTGAGAATTCTGCTTGGCCGGGATGGCGTTAATACCCATAGATCAGATGTGTATGGCCAAACACCGCTCAATCGTGCTGCTGGGAGTGGACAAGGGGGGAGCAGTGAAAATATTACTCGGACCAAACGACGTCAACCCCGACAAACCAAATGAGCTCGGCCGAGAGCCAGTCTGCTGTGCTGCTAGGAATGAGAGAAGAGGACTGGCGAAAATGCTGCTCAGACGGGGCGATACCAACTCCAATAAACCAGATCAGGAGGGCCAAACATCACTCTGGTGGGCTGCCGAAAGTGGACACGAGAAAGTAGTGAAAATACTACTTGGGCAGAACGATATCAACCCCGACAAGCCGAATAAGTCCTGCGTAATGCCGCTCTCCCAGGCTGCTTGTGATGGGCACGAGGGGGTGGTCAAACTTTGCTCGGATGCGACGGTGTCTACCCCCACAAACTAGATCAAGACGGCCAAACACCACTCTGGCGTGCTGCTCACAATACTGGAAAGCGGCTCATCGCGTTGTAAAATCCGATGCCGGGGCAATGACGTCTCCGGTATAGGAGCTTGTGCTGCTAGGTGTACTGACAAATTAGGCTTTCCCAAAACGAGCGGGTCTTAGATGGGCAACCTATAGGGAGTTGAGAATTGCTGAACTTAAAAAAAAAATATGGGGCTGTGGTGGAGGGTGTGTGTGCAGGGGGTGCTATCGGGGAAGAGACAGGTTGGATCCACGATATTATGATATGAGTATCATCGATGCTGTGGATTAATTATGTAACACCACTACCCCGAATCCCGGACTAGGTTTCATCCTCCCCTTACATCTCTATTGAAATTTTTTTAAAAAATGTGCTTTTTATTATACCGACCTGGATAAACAGAGACAGGTGATTATTTTATGCCAAGTTTGCATATGTATCGTGGTTGTATCGGATCGTATGCTTTCCAACTTATCCTTTTTTCTAGGTTAAAAGAGTATCGAGTGATGATCCATGACGGATAGCCTTGATGCCGAGAAAAAGTAGAGCAAGGATGCACCGGCAGACAGACCCCTTCCCTCGGTCACCCAATTCTCTGCATTCGAGGTAGCTGTCCCATATGGTTGTGATAGGCCTGTGTCCCGAGCGTTCCAGCATTTGCTAAAGTTTCACCGATAGGCGAATTGGGGAGTGTGGGGATACGACGAGGTTTCCTCTTCGGCGCCGGGCCTGCGCTAACACTACCTCGTAATATCTAGCAGAGTGGGGGGTGGGAAATTCTGCACTATCATACTGGTATTGATTCACAGTAGAGAATACCGATAGTGCTAGGTGCCCGGGATGTATCCTCCTCTATTCAAGACTCTTGGGCATGACGCCCCCGTCTAAACCCGCTTTAACGCATGTGCGTGGAGTTTTCGTATCCAAGTTTTTTTTTCCTCTTTCTATACCCGTGTTTGTTGGTCTGCGATTTCACTTGGGTGATGGTATCTCGTTGGTAATATATGGAGTTTGGTTTCAGGCGGAGGTAAACGGGATCGCCGTGCGTCCCGGCTGGGGTTAATAGACGGTGGCATGGCAATAGAAGTCCCTCTAAACAGTAACGGCAAGAATGGCACAAGAGTCGTTGTTTTTCCATAATTTTTTTTATTTTTTTTATTTACTTACATGTTTTTTTCTCTGTTCACTTATTTGCCCACTACCCACATAATAGTCTCATAAAGGTTCCACCATCGATACTTCCGCTCCTCTCACTTTTTTTTTTTCTCCGTAAATCCATTAATCCATTTTCCCCGCCCATCAGTAAACTGCTTCAGTTTTTCCACTGTTTGTTATCTAAGCACATCAGCATTCCCATCCTGAATTTCCAAGGCACTGCCCCACTCCCCGGAAGGCCGCATAAATATTGCTCAATCATCGATAAAGCAAGAAGGAAGCAGAAAATCAAAATCATCAAGAGTAAAGACTGAGAAACAGCAAATCAACTGTGCTTCAAATGCGGTGGGGGTATTCTACCAGTTTTTCTTGTTTTGGGGGTCCGTTTTGACCGCTAGATGACCATCTCGTAGCAGAGAGATTTGGATTTCGCCTTCATCACCTCCTCAGGAGTCCCCACGGGATGAGCGCAGTGGGCCATAAGACCACGCCTGACTGCAACAGCTCCTAGAAGACGTTAGTAACGTTCTAGCCTTTTATCATGGGTGGAGGGGGGACCTCGACTTACTATAGGTGCTTATAACAGCGATGACATGGACATCCAGTTGATCCTGAGTGAAAACCCCCATCTGGGTCTTGAAAGTTGGAACCTCAACTTTCAGGAGCGCGCAAATGTGCTTCAAATCGTGACTAATTAATCCATGGCGGGTGAGGTCCTCTTTCCCTTCCTACAATTTATTGGTTAGCTTTGAAAAGCGCGCAACATGGGAAATTTTATAACTTACCAAAGTGGACGGATACTTCTGCGAGCACCGGTCACAAGTGACATACTCCGAAAGCTCCTGATTGCCAGTGCCCAAGTTAAGGTTGCTCAATCTCGAGGCAATGTTGTGATCGCTATAGACCGCGGCGCGCTCCCCGGAAACACCAATTTTCGTATGGTAGTCGGATAGCACCTCCCCCCAATGCTCAGTGATATCGCTCTTGTCATTCTTCCTCCCGCCGTTACCAAATGGTCCGATACAACCAGCGGTGAGTCCCATTTTTTGAGATTGGTAATAGTTGCGAATATCTTCTGGAAAAATTGTTAAGGGGCTCTGGCTACTGCTTTAGCCTTGAGATGGAATGGGTGGAAACAGAATTGAGAGGTGTTTGTTCGGGCAAAGGCGGGGTTATTCCGGTATGATAGTGACGGTGATTTTTCGGTATAGGAAAGGGGTATCTTTTCCTCAAATGGCGAAATTTTAAGGGAAGGAGGCGGTTGAGAGGGATGTTGGAAAGAGAGACGCTGTGTGGTTGTAGAAGAAGAGGAGAGGGTGAGAAGGTTCCCTTTTATAGGTGAGTTCCACACCAAGGGGACTGGCTTTTATACAATGGGAGAAGCCCTCATCTTTCTATAGGGCGCACGCTTGTGCTCAATGGTAAAAACTCCTAATCCTGTAATACCATTGTGCAGGCCCCTCCTCACTAACATACCAGACCCAACCTCTACTCCAGCCCTGCCCTCCCTGCCTACCAGAAGGAAAAAAAATAGTTACTATACTGTATAATATTATTATGGAATCGCTTCTCCCCCCAACTCCTTCTAGATGACCCAAATCACATCCAATCATTTAGGAACAGTCTACCAGAAGGGGTTGTTTGGGGAACCAAATTTGTGTCTCTGACACTCTTTCTTCATAGTAACGACACCTCCCATCATACACCTTGCCTCAAGGTCAAGCCGCCGTCACGTCGGTTTTTTATTATTACTGTTCTGGTGTAGCCTTCCGCCTGTCGACTGGGCACAATGGGCGATCAGCTGCGACTCATGCGCAAGAAGCGCACACCGCAATCTAGCTTTCTCTCATTATCTTTTTTTATTCCCTCGGAAGAAAGTAGCTAAGGCAGTGTTGTTCCAGCGGTAGTTAGAGCGGTGCTGTTGGTAGCCGCCAAGAGCGGCGCCGCGGTATATTACCAAAGGACCACTACCCTTACTGCTGCCAATGATATTCCGTGCAGGCGGATGAAATCCTGGGCATTCATGCATGCGGCGACAAACTCGCGGGTTGATCAAAATCCCCTGAACAACTCCACAAATTAAATGAGCCCCTACGGTATCCGTCCTTGCCTACCTAAATTCTGGAAAACCAACAAGTGCCAGGAACAAAAACAAAAGCTTCCCAGAGGGAGACGAGCAGGTTAGGCTCGAATCTTCTTCACTCGGGGCTGGTTTAGTTGATTTCCGAGCCTTCATAACTTGAACCTATACTGCCAGAGCGTCATAAACACCAATTCTTCATCTCGCGAAGTAGGTCCTAATTTAGAACCGATAGCTAGCATTCCGGGGGAGGGGAGGTAATTCGATAGAGTCATTTCTTCCCAGGAGGCTGGGTCTCCTTCCTCGGCCCGAATGGCCCGCGGTCCGACTCTTCTTTCCGGGTATTACAATATCATGAATGAAAATACAGGCAGGCGTTCGAATCTACTCGAGACCAACAATACTGCTCCGAGACCTTTTTTTTTTTTCGGGATATCATATATACCGGCATCACCCCGTATGCCTTTGATAGTACCCATAACTTAGACCTTTTCTATAGAGTAAGCAGTCGTCCAGTTTCCCGCTTATCATAATACCTTTCACCCTTTCTATGCACCAGAGTTGGTAACACCTGAGCGGTTAACGTTTAAATGGTAAGTTTGCATAATAATTATTATAATAATTATTATCGTAAATACTCACATAGTTGGACCGTGGCCTACTCGTGCCAAGGTTGTGGCTGCGCCACAACCCATGTCTGCTTGCTGGCTCACAACCGTGGGCACTCTCAAGAGAGTGCTGGACAGCTCAACAGTCTTGGACAGCTCAATGGTCCTTGGGTGTTGCCATAGAAACTCTGTTTTCATAGAAACTATGTTGCCATAGGAACAGCGTTACTATAGAAATATTATTACCATAGAAACATTATTGCTAAGCATTCTGTTACAATTCTGCTATTGTATGACAGCATAGTTACACTCATTACAATACAACTCTACAAATATTGGCATTTATTTATTAGTGAATACTCAATTTCCCTATTGGCATCTACCAAAGCAATAAAAGACATATATACCACTAAGATAAATGTGTTAAGAGAAGTCACTTGTATATTAGTTATTAAGCTAAATATAGCAATTCTGTGTTGCTGTATTACTATATTGTATTGCCCTACCATTGTCATGTTTCTATGGCAACATGTTAGGTAATATTGTATTGAGCTAGGAGGTTACCATGCCAACATCCAAGGACCGTTGAGCTGTCCAAGACCGTTGAGCTGTCTGGCACTCTCTTGAGAATGCCCACGGTTTCGAGCCAGCAAGCTGACGTAAGTTGTGGTGCAGCCACAACCTTGGCACGAGTACAGTATATACCAAGAAGAAAATAAAAGTAAAAGGTAGCAGAAAGAAAGATGGAAATCAGGTTAGTATTTGGTATGACCACTATTGGAATTGACAACAGCATTAGTATAACCAATTATACTAGTAGCATGCAGGATTTGTATAAGATCAACTCCATAATCTGATTCCACTTATTCTAGATAGTGATTTTCATATCAGTATTGTTAGTTGGTCAGGGAAGAAGCTGAGCAATATGAGACTTCATTAGTCTTCAAATAGCTTCTATTAGGTTGAGGTCTGGTGAGGTTGTAGGCCATGGTAAAAGGTAGTTGTAAAGACTACAGTCTTGTAGTTCAGTAACTTGAACTGTAGTTCATGTATGATTTAGTGAGGTATTATCCTACTGGATATAGATATAATCATAAGTGTGAGCTAACTCTTCTTGCTAAAACTAATCAAGATAGAATAGAATGTGAGTTTAGTAATTATTTGTATTCATAGTTTTCTCCCATGCTGCTTTATCCCATGTAATTAATAGTTCTTTAAGATATCCAATAAAACATCCTCAAACCAGAATCAAGTCATACTTTGTAAATTTGGAAAGAAGGCACAATTTCTCAAACTCCTCCTCAACTGTTCTAGTGACTTATGCATCGCCAGGTGTACTACTGACATTAAAAGTACATTTATCTGTTCAGATAACTTTGGACCAATCCTATATAGTCCAAACTTTATACATATTAGCCTATTTATTATAGGCCTAAAGCTAGTAATTAATAATCCAAATATCAAACTTTCTACTCATACCTCTTTGCTAATAGGAAAAGGAAGGATATATTTTCCTGAATAAACAACAACCTGAAAACATAGAAGAAATACTAAGAGAAAATTTAGTAGGAAACCAATCTCTATACTAGTAGCTGATGCCCGCTCTGGCAATTCCAAGTCTAGAGCCAGAAAATAACAAGACTAACAGGAAATCTAAGATATACCTGCCTAGTTTTAGGTAAAAGAAGGAGTTTTTTTCAAGCTACATGATAATGGCAGCCTGCAGCTGTCATTGTTTAGTATAGGGTATAGCTGCATACATCAAGGCCAGTAAGTTGAGTAATTTCAGTATATGGCTTGTGGTTTAGTTTCTGCTGAGGTAGTAGCTAAAGTGATAAGCTTTTGATGATGAGGTATACATAAAATAGAGTAGTGGCCATAAATACCATTCTGAGTAGGAGTTGTAGATGGATGTGCAATATAGTATATAGTTGTTAGGGCAACTCTCATAGTTGTAGAGATCTATCAATATAGCTAGTAGGTATAGTGTTTAAGGGTACAGATCTTATGGCAGAGGACAGTATCAACCTCAGTACATAAAAACACAATACCAAAATGTCACGGCCACCCGGCGTGCTGAACGTGGAGGAACATGGGACTTTTGGTTGCATATATCGGCTGTGGTTTCTTTGGTTGCGTCGTAGGATTTCCTTTGTGTTATGATTGGGATAGGTTGCCATGCGACGGAACCTGGCGGAACATGACGGAAAGATCGCGGCTGCGCGCGACGCCAAGGACTTTCTTTTGTATTAGTGATCATGGAGGATTTCCTATCTATATAAGGGTGTAACGTGTTCACGCCGGGGCGTTAATCACGCTGTCGGGTACAATAGGAGAGAAGTGATGCCTGCCGGAGACTATCAACTTCCAGGCTCGCTAAGGGAGGCTTCGGTGGTGTAATAGGAGAATAAAGATAACCGTTCAACCGAGTATATTGAAATACTGTCTGTCGAAGTCTGCCGTTTCCAAAGTGGAAGACGGCGGTCCTTTTTAAGTACATGTATTTGAGTACGATCATGAATTCTCACTCATGTTCTTACTCAATCAAAGCATAAAAATAACCAAGTATCAACCGATACTTAAAACAAAACATAAAACAAACTAAGTATCAACCGATACTTAAAACAAAACATAAAACAAACTAAGTATCAACCGATACTTAAAACAAAACATAAAACAAACTAAGTATCAACCGATACTTAAAACAAAACATAAAACAAACTAAGTATCAACCGATACTTAAAACAAAACATAAAACAAACTAAGTATCAACGATACTTAAAACAAAACATAAA